CCTTACTAAATTGGTTTACAGTTTGATTGTTCTTGATTAATAAATACGCAGCCACGTCTGGTCGCAATGTATTCCTATGCAGCCACGTCTGGTCGCAATGTATTCCTATACATCGTGAATGGTAATTATCACGCTTTTGTGCGATTAACTGCTTTTCTTCTTTTTTAGGTTTTGGGTTATCAATCTCATTGTTGATGATTTCTAACTGCTATCAGTCTCTGAGGGGTCCGTAGGTGGATTTTTTGCAAGGCAAAATTTCTGCCCCCGTCCAACACCCTCATTTCCAGTGGTAGTCTAGATTCCGCGGCCGCCCTTCATCCCGGTTCACCTACCTATTATAATAATTGTGATTTTTTTCTCGTCTCGTTAAGCAGGTTACTGTCAATCAATCAATTATTGTGGCCTCGAGTTTCACTGAAGAGAAATAAATTGTCGAAATACGCATCTGGTGTAGAAAGTTGGTACCGATAAATGTTATTCAAATTAATTTTCCTACCTTCTGATTTTTCTAGTTAGATAGATAGATTGTTGTTTGACTATAAAGTGGGTATGATTTGACAGGAACAGTATATTTTGATATACTGTTTCAATATGTGGCATGGAGATCAAGTGAAAAATAATTGTGTCGATTGAGTAAATTGCATATGGCGTATATATCTCCAAGTTGATATGATATTCCAGAGCTTACGTTTCCTATCATGATTTATGCGATAGAGGGTTGATGCTAACAAGGAAGCAATTGAACAAATGATTCATTACAATTAATCGAGTTGCAGTCATCCCTTCGAAAGTATTTGGGCGCCATCATGATCTGATTGACCGTTATTCAATATATGTGCCTCATATGACGACGAATATATGTTCCAATTGTCGTAACAACAATCCCGTTCTCATTTCTTCGATTTTGGAATCACTGAATTCGACTTATTACCGAATATTTACTTGCAATTAGCAAACACGACTGGTGCCACCAGTGGAGCAGGGCCTGCTAACCCTTCCGGAGCACATGCGATCATCCTCAGTATTTGGCGTGGTTCGTGATGCTCACTCTATTGTTTTCTATTTAGTGTTTTGTAGAATGTTGGGGGTTTTTTTTCGTCCTTTTTTCTTCTTTTTGGTCATGGTATTGTATTATCTTTAACTTTAATTATGATTTTTGGTAGCTTCTGCCTCTTCTACTGTACCAAAAATCTATTTTTTTCTTTGTCACATTTAGATTTAAGTCTGCTTCATACAATTACTCATATTTTATTGAAATCTGTACATTTGTTAGTAGTTAGTGGTTGTTAGTAATATTCATTCAATATAATTTACCTGTATAAACAACATGTAAGAAATACAAAGTTAGATGCTTAGATAATTTTTATAACGTGTAAATATAAATACTAGCATGCAGTCATGATGCTTAACATGTTTAACCCCGCTGCATTTTTCCGCCTGTCCCAAGTTAGGAACCTCTGGCCTTTGTTAGTCTTGTATGTTTTTTTTTTTTTTTATTTTGGTTCATTTATATTTTTCGGTGTTTAAATAGTGTTCTTAAAATTGAACAAGGTCGACACACTAAAACTCCTGTAGAAGAAAGAATTTGTCCCTTGTGTCTTTTAGAAGTAGAAGATGAATTTCATTTCACTATAAAATGTACAAAACTAAATACAATTAGAGAACAATTATTTTCCAAAATTAGTGAAATAGTTCCCTCTTTTTTAAACATGACTATTGAAGCAAGATTTAATTTTTTGTATACGTGTGGTGAGACTGATATAATTAGAATTATTGTAAAATTCATAAGCGACATGTACAATTCTAGAAATGCTTTATTGAGTACTAAATAACTTTGTGGTATCACCTCCTCAGCAGTAATCGAGACAATAACTTACTAGTATTTAGTTATCTATGGCATGAAATTTGCCTATTTAACAAAATATTCACAGATTAACAATAAATTGACGAAAACTCGACCTACCCTATCTATATTTTTGATATTTTATACCAGAAAAGCTCAACAGGAAGTGCCAGTATACTTTTTTCTCGCTTAACCATTTGGTTGAGATTAGATGGTTTACCAGGTGTGAATAGGGAACGAAAAATAGTCCCTTTTGTAGTTAATTTTTGTATAGAGTTTCTCGTATAAATCTGAAATACATGTGTCTAGATATAGAAAAGGACAGTTAATGCTGTTAATATTAGATTTATTAAAAGTAAGCTTTCGGTAGTATATTTAGAGAATTCTTGATTATTTAGAGCAAACATATCATCAAGGTACGATAAGTGTAATTGGATTTATCAACCAAACGGAATTTAGACGGTGTTTGATCATTAACGTTGTGGGTATGCAGGAACAAGCCTGATATTAAAGAGCACAATTGGTGTCCATAGGAATACCTATAATCTGTCGATAGAACTTATTGTCAAAACGTATATGGATGAGGTCAAGGAGAAGATTTGCAGCTTTAATCATCTCATGACACTTTCAGTAAGTATATTTCTAGCATAATTTCCCTTTTTATTGCAGAAGAAGGCTTACTATCAGTTGCAGCAAATAAATTTACAATCAGATTTTCAAAGTACCATTTCATTAAATAAGAAAACATTTATTAGGTAAAATGTAAGGAAGCGTAGGGCAGAGTGTCGAAAAGTTATAAATTACCAACCGAATTGAAAGGACCATCAAAAGCAAGTAATTTATGTAAAACATACAAAGAAATTTTGACACTTCAAAAATAATTTATTCCATTATTTTCATAAACTTAATTGCACAAGTTTTAAATGATAAGTGTGTTGATAGTTGCAAGGGGACAGAAAGATTAGTTTTACAACACTTACTAGAAGCAGAGGTGAAAGATATTTGATTTGACAGGGTTTTTGAGTAGTTTGGGTAGCCAATACCTAGTAGGCCGTTCAGAGGAGGCCTTAAGCTGAAATCAGATCGTTCCTTTCTCTCCAATATATCCTATCAGAACCTTGCAACAACCTGTTAGTGATGACAATGATTAGAAGAAAAATTAACTGTGAAAAGAAAGGCTTAAAGACTTTTTAAGGTAGCTCAGGTGTCTTCTGCCATTTTGGATTGTAAAATAGCAGAAAACAATCGGTCTAGATCTTTAATGAAATGTGCAAATTTTGAGAGAATAATGTCCATCGTTTGTTAGACGTTTCATCTGAATGAAGGAAATTATGTGTTTAATCATATTTTTGCGACTATTTTTACCAATACAGAATATTTTTGTTTGAATCCTTTTTTTCAACTTTGACATATAAGGGGAGATAACTTAGATAATGTAACTTTTATACTAGAAAGTGTTATGAATTTACCTATTTTATTTTGTAGCAAGAAAACGAGCCCCGTCACTTTCTTTTTACATTTTTAAAGGCCATTGTAAGAGTTATCTTCTCATATTTTATTTCAAAATTCTATGGTTTAGTTTTCTTTCTATCACACAAAATTGTGTTTTCCATAAATAATATATACAAAATCTGACAATTTTGCACAACCTGCAGCTTGAAAAAAAGCCCCATGACCTATACTTTTTTATTATTTTTATTATATATTTGAGAAAGCCATGATTTAAACTACATTTTGGCAAATTATTTAAAATTTGAAGGATTTTAATTCAGACCGACTATCAACCTTAAGACTATTGAAAGCCAAGATGGGTGGCTCAGAGAATATTTTAACGGTTTAGTGTGTATTTCATTTTTACGAATACTTGTGACATGTGACAGTTTGTCAAAAGTCGGTTAGTAGGTCAGCACAAACCAAACACTTTTGTTGGCCATTTTCTTGTACCTTGTAAAATTTTATCTCAGCTGATGTTGTTTGCTTGAGAGAAGCCTCTTCATCTCTACTGTTTTTTTTCTATAGCCTTGGAATGTGAAATTTTATCATTTAGCCACGAGAGCCGGTGCATTACATATTCCCATCTTACTATTTGCCCGTATAAATTCCTACATGTGCATGTGGATATAATTTGCGCGCATTCATTTAGTATTTTTCATATAAATACAGGTATATAACTTTAATTTATAGGTAAATATATGGATACATATGGTTTTACTGTTTGTCAGACAAATGTATTCCTTTTTGTAAATTAGCGGATCTTATACACCCAAAGCGTTGTGAATGTCATCTCCTAACGCCTTTCTCTGTGTATGCCCATTGTCAAACTCCAAGTTTTTCTCCATAAGAGTTTTCTCTTCGATAGTTAGCATCACAAAACGCACAAGTTGTGTGTGCCATTTAGCAGTTAGGTCGATTATCTTAATATGCATCTCACCTTTTTCAGTAACAGACTCATATATGAATTTAAAAAAGTCACCATTAAAATGTCTGTTTAGTGAAGGTAAGTTTTTATCCTTTTTAAATAACGTCACGAGAGAAAGCACTGTACTCAAATTGAATGTTTAATGGTAGATCCTTGTTAGTTTATCCGTATGAGAAATTGTTCCTTTTCAAGCAATAAAACATAATTACTCGAACAGAGTAAGTGTGCTATCATAGTTCATTGAAACAATATTTAATAGATTTATAAATCGGTCGCATGGTTGCTCCTATTTCATTTTAAGGTGGTGGTGATCCAGGGTTTAAAAAAAAAACGTATTGAATCGTTTACATTTTTTTTTGTTCTCGGCAAATGAATTTGTCTATCCTCAAACAATACACTGCAATTGCTGTCTTTGTTAAATGATTTGGTTTATGTGCTCCAGTGACAATGCATTTCTGTTACTTTAGTCAGAGTACCTGTGCAAAGCTAATCCAGGTAAAATTGCTTTGAAGCAGGTAACGAAAACTGTTGACTGTTGTTTTATCTGGATTTGTTAAATTTTGAAAAGTAATAAATGTATTGTAGTACATCCTATTTTCAGTCTGCTACATGAGCAAACAAAGCCATATTGATGTTATTAATATTTGTGGAACCAATATATAAAACAGCATTCAATATGTGACCATAATTCCTCATCAGATTCTCTAGAGGAAAGGCATTAAAATCGATTGGCTGATCTATAAGCAAGGATTTCCTATCACATTACAAACACTGATTTCTCCATACACATTCCAAGAAATATTATTTCTACGTAGACATAACTGTCATTATAATTAATAATTGGTTAGGAAATCCAGCTTATTCCAACAATCGATCTCGAGGTTGTGACATCAATAAAATTGTTGGTCAGCTGACAGTCATGGCACTACACTGAATGAGGAGGGCTATTCTATTGAGGTATGTTTTCTTTTTTCATACCAAATTTGTTCATGTTGTTATTCGTAATGCCATTTTTTGTTTATTATCTATTAAAATTAAAGCTGATGTATCAGATTCAAACTCTGCGATTAGCATTTTCTTCAGTCTTGAAGCTTTTTACTGGTAATTGATAGAATTATATTGACTATAGTATTAAAATGTGCTCCGTCAGTCTTTACAAACAAATTAATCAAAACCTGATGTTCGATTTAGTTTAGCTCTGAAGATATTTTGTACTTCGTCATGTTTCCTTTATAACGAAAATAAATCATAGTTACAAAATGAATAGTGATTGAAAAATAGTCGATATTGTGATGTCAAATCGTAGGCGTTTGGTTTTGTCAACTTTGGGTGTTAATAAAGCCTTTTCTGTGTTATTCAGATGACGTAGTAAATACCGACCAAGCCGGATGGTGAGTCGTTCTTACGACTAATGCCATGAGTGAAAGTACAGAATCGAAAAACTTCACTGACGATGGATTAGCTGAGGAAGAGCACGAAATTCTTTCAAAAACATCAACTGTTCTTGAAGAAACCGATTCCGAAAAAAAGAAAAAGAAAAGTGGATGTCCAGTTTATTTTGGAGTGAAGTCATATTTACACGAATTCTACGATCCCAATTCTGCAGTGAAAGATCCGAGTATATACGAGGAAGATGACGACTTTGCGCTTCTATTAAATCCGAGATCAAGAAGACGGCGTTGTCCTCCAATTTGGCTGAAAGTATGTATCTGGAGCGGTGCCAATTTGCTATTGTTTGGCATTGTCGGTATCCTTGTTGGGTATACAGTTCCAAGAAAATCGCCGGTAACAAAACTAAGTGAGGACAAAAATTTAGGATATATTGATCACAGTGCTGTATCATTTAATACAACTCTTGATTTATGTAAGCTGGTTGGTTTGATACTATTTTGTTCTGGTGGAATTATATTTGCAATGTCGCTTCTATTTCCTAGCTTTTTGACCAATTATTGCGATGATGACGTCGCCGAAGATTCTATAAGAATACCCATTGCTGATGAAAAAACACCTTTGAGTCCGATCGAAATGTCGATCCCCTCAACTTCCAAAGTTAAAAGTGTTCAGCCAAACAGAGTAGCATTTAAAGATGATTTTCCGACAAAAGATGTGCGTTTTATGGATTAATGGACTGAACACTCAAACAAGTAATTAAGTAGTGTAATATTCGACCACAAAATAAATGTGCATTCATATTGTTTTCTTTTTGTCAAACAAGTAAAGCTAATGAGAACGGCAAACGAGTTAATCTGTTAAAACTAGTATCGCAGTTACAAAACATTAGCATGTGCTCGAAATTCTTTACCACAAGTTCTTATTCAGTCTCTCTTTCTTTGTTTTGTGTTTGCAATGTCAAGAAATTTCAAACTCAAATCAGAATATGATTTATGATATATATTATAGATTTTTTTACACAACAAACAATATTGAAACCCTTTAAAGCGTCAGTGAATTTACATAAAAAAAAATTGTACAATACCATGCAGGAATGGTAGAAGAACATGAAGATGAAACAACAAAAATAAATCTTAGCGTCTTTTATCAGTGTTTGAATACATACATGTTGACCAAAATCAGTTTATACATTTTGTAATTTTCTCTAAAAGTATAACTATACACAGCTGATTTTGAGAATTCCATTCAACTTTATTTGTATAACATTGACGTTGGTTTTAGCTGCAAATGTTTTTTTAGTGGGCAAATTTAACAAATAATCAATGCGATTTTGAATATAGTGATAATTCACTGGGGAAAATATGTCACCCCAGTAATTCAGGACACTTGTAAACGAATATGATGTATGATGTGAAACTTACGGTTATGGAACCTTATATGAAACATTTAGTATATGCTGTTACTTCTGAGAACAGATTTGGACACTCAGTTTCTTTAAAGTCAATATCAATTTAAACTAGACGCTCACTGGAGCCTGTATCGCTCACCTGGTATTTATACACAATATTTACGTGTGGTCATGTAATATGTTAAATAAAGTTATTCAGTCAGAATATAAGAATGCCTTTGTCGCCCACATCTTTCATTTCATCTGAACCGCATGATGAGCACCTTCAGTACATCGTTCAAATTAAGTTGGATACACTTGGCCTATCATAGTAAATTCAGATATTGGACCTTCCATACATCATTCCTGAAAATTGACACTTTTAATATCTCCAATAGGTTCAAGATAGCAGCTAAAAACTCTGAAAAATTGATAAGAACGTACCTCCAAATAGGGTTGTCGATATTTTCTGAAATTTTAAGGTTGATAGAACTTGTCATGCTGATCATTATTTCAATTTACGTTTGTAATCTAGCTTCAATAGCTTTCAAGACAATAGACAACTGTCAGACAAGTTAAAAACCAACATTTGGGCAATGACTAAAAAAATAGCTGCACGGATTTTCTAAAATTTTCACAATAGAAAGGGCGTGTTGTGTTGAACATTTTCAACCTGCCAGTTTTTCTTTCATTGATACTAGTATATATCTGACCCCTATGCTTCTTTTTTTAATTTTAAATGGTTTGTAAAAGCGTTGACCAAAGCACATTTTGTATGAAGCTCTTGATATTAAAATTTTGTAAGGGGCTCTCCAGAACCCTGTGTCTTGCCTGCGATTGCTGCTGTCAGTGTAAAAGTGTAATGTTGACTTAAAAAGTGAGTCCATTTATCAGTAAAATATAGAATTTAAAAAAAATTCGAAATTTTTCTTCAGATGCCTTTTCTCAGTCTTGAAGTTCAAGTTTCATAACAATCCATGAAGGTTTACAAATTTATCATGTCAAAAAAATTTAATCCCAGACTGTCTGTAAATGTTAACTGTAAAAAACAAGCTTCTGTCCCAATTTCATAAAATTCCATGTAGTTTGCCAAGTACTTGATGTCTAAAAAAAACTAAGTCCATCTATCAGAAAAATACTAAAAATGAAAAAAATATATTATCAAAGGTTTGTTTCAGACATAATCTCTTAATCATTAAAAAAGCTTCTGCCAAAGTTTCATAACACTCTATGAAGGTTTGACAGAGTAATTGATGTGTAGCAAACTTTAACCCCAGACTGCATCTACTTGCTAACTGTAAAAAAACTATGTCCATTTATCAGTAAAATATGGAAAAATGAAAATGAATATTTTAAAAATTTCACTCTGGATACTGTCTTTTGGTCATAAAAAAGCTTCTGTCCAATTTTCATAAATTTCCATGAAGGTTTGAGAAAGTTATTGATGTTAAAAAAACTTTAACCTCAGACTTAATCTGAATGTTAACTGTAAAAAAAAACTAAGTCCATTTATTAGTAAAATACAGAAAAATGAAGATAAATGTTTTCAAAATTTTGCTCTGGATACTGTATTTTCGTCATAAACAAGCTTCTGTCCAAATTTCATAAAATTCCATGCAGGTTGTACAAAGTTATTGATGTCTAAAAAATCTTTAACCAGAGACTGAACCTAATGTTGGTGCCGCCGACAACAGATTCTAGGGTCGCTATGTCTCACTTTCACAAATAAATTACACAGGCTAAACAAATATGTACTAACAATAAACGCTTTAAAACCCCATAAAATTATAAAAAGAAGCTTTTAATCCTTATAATTACACTGTTATACTACAACCATGAAATTAAGAATCAAGTTTTTATTGTTTTTCTATGCATTGTTTTAACATTGTCACAAACAGCACGTGCAGTCATAGCTGTTGTATTTTATACAGAAATAAACAAGTGAAACTGCAAGCTACTGCTCACTGATGATACCCCCGCCGCAACTGGATAATTTTAGTAGTGTAAAAATATGCAAGTGTTTGGTAAACAGGAAGTTTTTGAGTGATGAATCTGAAAACACATCACACGGTATAGCTGACTTATATAAACCCTGAAACCAAATTTCAGAAATCAAAATTATGTAGTTCCTGAGAAAGATGCAAAGAAAAATATTCATGAGATGGATGGACGCATGGACGGATGGACAGACAGAGGTAAAACAGTTTATCTTACCCCCTTTACATTTCTAGGAATATGATTGGTTAAAAGAGTCCGTGTGGAGACCGTGTATATTCCATATGAGGTTAGTAGGGAGGCAGGGCTTATTTCAATACACGGTTAGTAGTGGTGTTACGTCCCTTTATAAAGACACAAGAGTGCACACGCTGAAATGTCTCACCTTCTTTATTAATCATTGATATTATGTTAATAGTCCTAAATATAAAGCTTTATTACAACTGTCACATAAACTAAACATTGACCAATGAACCATGAAAATGAGGTCAAGGTCAGATGAACCATGCTAGGCAGGCATGTATAGCTAACAATTCTTCCATACAACAAATATAGTTGACCTATTGCTTATAGTTTAAGAAAAACAGACCAAAACACAAAAACTTAACACTGAGCAATGAACCTTGAAAATGAGGTCAAGGTCAACTAAAACCTGCTTGACTGACATATAGATCATAAAATATTTCCATACACCAAATATAGTTGAACTATTGCATATAGTATTAGAAAAAAAGACCAAAACTCAAAAACTTAACTTTGTCCACTGATCCATGAAAATGAGGTCAAGGTCAGATGACACCTGCCAGCTAGACATGTACACCTAACAATCATTCCTTACACCAAATATAGTAGACCTATTGCATACAGTATAAGAAAAACAGACCAAAACACAAAAACTTAACACTGAGCAATGAACCTTGAAAATGAGGTCAAGGTCAAATAAAACCTGCGTGACTGACATATAGATCATAAAATATTTCCATACACCAAATATAGTTGACCTATTGCATATAGTATTAGAAAAAAATTCGTAAGGGTTCCGCGGAACCCAGTGTCTCGCCTACTTTTGGTGTTAATCGCAGGCTCAACAAAAATGAAGAAAAAAATTAATAAAAATATTCCCCTCTATACTATGTTTTGATTGTAAGTAGCTTCTGTCCAAGTTTGGTAAAAATCCAGGATAAATTATGAATCTAATAAATGTTTTAAAAACTTAAACTGCAGAATGTATGTAATGTTGACTGGAAGAAAAACTAAGTCCATTTATAAGTAAAATACAGAAAAAATGGAACAAAATTTTATCAAAATTTCCTTCTAGATACTATCTTATGATCATAAACAAGCTTCTTTCCAAGTTTGGTATAAATCCAGGATAGTTTAAGAAAGTTATTGAAATTTCAAAAACTTTAACCACAGAGTGAATGTAATGTTTCCTGGCAGAAAAACTAAGTCCATTTATAAGTAAAATACGGAAAAATGGAATTTTTTTTTTCAAAATTTACTTCTGGATACTATCTTATGATCATAAACAAGCTTCTTTCCAAGTTTGGTAGAAATCTAGGATAGTTTAAGAAAGTTATTGAAATTTTAAAAACTTTAACCACAGAGTGAATGTAATGTTAACTGGCAGAAAAACTAAGTCCACTTATAAGTAAAATACGGAAAAAATGGAATTTTTTTTTTACAAAATTTACTTTTGAATATAATCTTATGATCATAAACAAGCTTCTGTCCAAGTTTGGTAGAAATCCAGGATAGTTTAAGAAAGTTATTAAAATTTCAAAAACTTTAACCACAGAGTGAATATTTGTGGACGCCGCCGCCGACGACGACGCCGACGGAATGTAGGATCGCTATGTCTCGCTTTTTCGACAAAAGTCGAAGGCTCGACAAAAAGACCAAACTCAAAAACTTAACTTTGACCACTGATCCATGAAAATGAGGTCAAGGTCAGATGACACCTGCCAGCTAGACATGTACACCTAACAATCATTCCTTACACCAAATATAGACCTACTGCTTATAGTATCTGATATATGGACTTGACCACGAAAACTTAACCTGGTTCACTGATCCATGAAATGAGGTCGAGGTCAAATGAAAATTGTCTGACGGGCATGAGGACCTTGCAAGGTACGCACATACTAAATATAGTTATCCTATTACTCATAATAAGAAAGAAATTAACATTACAAAAAATGTTGACTTTTTTTTCAAGTAGTCACTGAACCATGAAAATGAGGTCAAGGACATTAGACATATGACAGACGGAAACTTCGTAACATAAGGCATCTATATACAAAGTATGAAGCATCCAGGTCTTCTAGCTTCTAAAATATAAAGCTTTTAAGAAGTTAGCTAACGCCGCTGCCGCCGGATCACTATCCCTATGTCGAGCTTTCTGCGACAAAAGTCGCAGGCTCGACAAAAACGGTACTGAGAAAAAATCTTAAAGGTTTCAACAAACGAAGAAATTGATGATTAAGATTGAAATAAATTCATAAAACACATTTAAAGCTAACAAGTTGTTATTGTTGGCATCTGTTTTTGTATGATCAATGGAAGTAGTTTCGTAATGCTAACGGTATTGAATTCAGACTTGCTCATAGGTTACTACTCTAAATATCCCACGTTAAGATAGTTGGTAAGATAAATTCGTTACATAGTGTGCTAGTGACGCTTCGCTCTGACCCCATATGGAATTTACTGACCCCATATATACTGTATTAGGTCACTAGCACACTATTTAACTAATAATACCCCCACTTTTTTAAAGCGGGCATACAAATATGATATTGAAGTGTCTAACAATTGTTGTCAGCCAATCAAAATTACGGATTCTAATGAAACATACATGTAATGTCAATAATTTCATCATGAAATTCTTAAACACTACCCTTTTTTCCTCTCCCACTAATAAAATTATTAGGATATATTTGGAAATTTGAACATCTGTTAAGATATCATGATGAACATTAAACTTTGTAGCATTGCAGGAACTATGCTTAGTGCAAGATTAATGTAATTGGTTTTTTTTTGGCTTTAAAATTTAACAATCTGTTATTCTTTGAATATCGTAACATGTTTCCTGTGGTGATTCTTGGTCAAATAGGTTCTATTCATGTTACAAATAACCAAGACACCATTTTTTGATTATTTTTATTGTTGGGGTGTTGTCTCATTGACATGTATCCCACTTCTCCTTCTATTTATAAAGATCGACTGTATTTATCTCATGATGTCTTTTTCCCATTATTCTCTCATCATGTATGTTACAGACACTTCTGGCATTGGGTAACTGATAAGTGGAAACCTTAGTAACCCTAATAATACAGTCATTATGTTCTACAATGGATACCTCAATGGATAGGAGAGATCGATCACAGGAAGGGACTGAATTATTCAGGTTAAAACATAAGAAGTGACAGGATAATTAGAAGTCAATATATTTGTCTGTGAAAGAACTAACCATATGATCTTAAAATCCCTCAATTTTGGCGTACATTTCATGTATTTTGCATTACTTCATTGTTTTTCATTGTTGTTCATAATGATACCTTTCTATTAACCAATCTGTCTGAGAAGAAAGATCTGTCTTGCTTGTTTGAGTATTTTATTATTTTTATCTAAATTTGTGCAATACCCTTTGTCCTGTTTGTTGTTTTGTTTGTATTGTCAGTCAGATTCTACTTTTACAATTGTGAAGAGAGGTTATTCACTTGTACTGAATAGCTAGGGAAATCCTGAGAAATAAGTTCATTTCTAGAAATAATTAGAGTGAACAGGTCAATGGTTATATACTCAATGAAATGATTTTTGTACCTTCATCAATCCCACAATCAGATCAACCTTATTATTATCTTTAACCCTGCATTATTTTTAAAAAGTTCCCATATTTATATTGTTGTTTAGTAAACTGGAAGTAGTTATTTAATTTCATTTAAAAACTGTTATATTTTAAAGGACAAAATTAGAAAATGGTTCAGTTAATCTGACCCTCCATCCTGAAAATAACTGTGATAAATCTAAACTAAATTTGTAACATTACCCTTTTCATAAATGCAGGCTTCCTTTAACTTTTATTTTGTTTATCCCAATTCATTCAGAATAAACATTGGTAATTTTCCACAATAAATGATCTAAGGTTTGTACAGCAGCACAGTATTTCAGAATTTAATATATGTGATTTTTTTTTAATTATATTTTCTCATGTGTTTGTGTGATATAGATTTTTCACTTGAATTAATTCATGAATATTTGCTAACAAGATCTAGAAGAATAGCATCAATATTTATTCAATATAAAAATCTTAAAGACAAAACTATAACAAAATAAAAACATTTTTATCACAGATAACAAATTCTTTAATTCTCATCTGACACCAATATATATGGCCCCAGCTCACATACATTTCACTATTAACTTCTCACTTGCTTCTCATCCTTTCTCACATCATATTATATAAAAGATAAATAAACAAATCTGACATAAACCTGATCAAGTATAATCTGAGATATCAATGATTTAATTTGGTGTCTTAATTACAGTCAACACTAAAGATAACAATAGACAAAGGACTCAGATAAGCTTCTGGCTTACAACATATTATGTAATCAGCCATTTATATAACCACAAAATTTTAGTTTATATAACCTCAAAATTTTGGTTTACATAACCTCAACATTTTGATTTACATAACCCAAATTTTATTTAACTAATTACAAATTATGTTTTTATTTTTCTGTCTTTATTTAATTTATTGCAAATTCTTGTTCTGATTTGTATTAATTTTTTCTCCATATAAAAAAATTAAATCAAAATTATTTAGAATTGAACATGACATAAAATACATAGTATTTCTGTTTTCATATTGCTTTCTTCCTAGACACATTTTTAAGTATTTTATTCAGGTATATGATTTTAAATCATGCAATTATACTCATAATAAATTTTCAACTCTTATAAATGTCATTAAAAAATATCCCAATAATGGACATAAAAATATGGTAAATAATAACTAAAAGACAAGATATCCTCCTACATCTTGGCAAACAATGGATGTTGTCTTTACACAATCAATAGTATCTATGGAAAACTTCTGAGAAAATAAACAAAATCAATAAGATGTCACTAATTCTTACAATAATGCCACAAACAGACTGATAATTAGTTACTATAGCTGGTGACATTTAAATTGTTTTTTTTTTTTTAAACCACTTTTAAAGCACATAATTTTCGGGGGTTTTAATTTCTCTAACGTTTTAATGATTAAAGATCAGAAAAATATTGTGATTGTATTAACACATTTTAAAATACAGATATATATTTCTTTTTACTAATATTTTAATAAATACTTGTACACAGTAAAACAAGATTTCTATTTCAGCATTGAAGTTATTCATTATTCATGAGCAAATTTATGGTAATAACCAAATAAAAGCAATTATTTAAATGAAGAGTAAACAAATCTCATTTGGTTATGATGCTTATCAGGCATAAAACCAATACAACACTGTCACAAAAAAATATCTGGATGTAAACCTAAAATAAAAATCTATTTCCATTTTCACTTCAATCAATTGATTAACGTAGCATAAGGAAGTTTGTAGAGGTGTATAACAATCAATACTACTGCCTACACATATCAACCATTCTACATCCAAGGTTAACGTGATGTTGAGAAAATTTAATTTGGTCTGAAAATCGAAAACTACTATAGTATTGGAAAAGCAGCCTTTAACTTCTACTTGTAAATCAAGGTTATTATGTTACATGATGGATCAGTCTTAGATTGATTTGAAAGAAATACTCAATTCAGAAGTCTTTGAAAGAAAAACTCAATTCAGAAGTCTGACAGTATCACCTAACATTTAAGATCCTACAATGGGCCATTTTTTTAAAGTAAAATATATCTGAATTAGTAAAAACTGTATGTGTGTGTATTTTTCAAACAGCAAAAATACACCTACCAGACATGCTGTTTTTTTTTCCTCTGAAATGTTTAACTGATTTATGAATATTAATAACTCATTTTGTATCATGGCTGATATGTTGATGGAAAATAACACAATAAAAATAAAAATAAAAGTTGTGGAGTAATTGTTACTGTAAAGATCCATTTCCAATTATTGATTCAAAATTGGCCTTTGTTAAAAAAAAATCTTTTTCACTGAAATCTTAAATCCTAATATTCAGGAACCCTTTAACAAATAAAAACATATTTCTATCACAGTAAAGAGAACCATAGCACATATAATAAAAAATATGATTCAATTCATAATACTGATTGTTAAAAGTTTTTTTTTAATTTAAATAATAGTGTTACCCATATCATATACATTAAATTTTATCATTTCGACTATCAAAACATTCTGAAATGTAACTTCTTTTACACTAACTATTTTTTCGGACTCTCACACAGAACTGACAGCATGCATCTAGGGCATGTCCAGCAGCTTAATATAAGCGAAGCAAAGAACTTGTTTAGACATGGCTTTCTGCATGAGTTTTTTTTTTCATAATCTGTTACACATCTGATTCTAGATCTGGTTTGTTTTTAATCCACAATTTCAGCCAATTTACTTTGATGGACCTTTTGGCTTTAAAGTCATGATATATATTTACTTTTTCGTTGACTTTATATCCATTTGCTAGCAGCATTGTATATAAAGGATTGCCTTCCCATGTTGATAGGTCTATAATGAGCTACAAATCAATAAATATAACAGCCATTAATTGTAATTAATGTTATATTGAAGCAAAGTTTTCCCAGGACACAACCACAGATCATCAAGCAATGTTACTAGTCACAATGCTACATAAATATTTAAACATCTATAGAATAATGATCATTAAATTATTGTACCTGAATGACTTGGAAGTTTTGCAAAACAAATACAACTATTGTTGAAGGAAGTCAACAAAATGTTATGTTTACTTTCTATTCTTATATATATTATCAAAAGATTTCAAGTTGGAAATCTATTTCACTAGGGATATTAACTGACATCTGAAATCGAACAAATATATATTGCAAGGCAAAACAAATGGTAATGACACTTGTATTTGATATGTATTAGGTATATGGAGAATCTATGTGAATACTAGAATGAAAGTTATATTTTTACAAAACAGGAATGGAAAATTGAAAAGAATATGAATGTAAGTCCAAGCCTGAAATGGTGAAAAAGGTTTTTTAAGACTTGTAAAAATTACAAATACAATAAACTAACTTCCAGAGTTTTTTATTTATTTTTCCTTTCTTTAATTTTCTTTTATTCTCTTTTTTCGTCAGTAAATATAATAAAGAGCTGCGCCATAAGCGCGTGATACACCCGTCGCTTTAAAAAAAAAAAAATTCCATAACTCCTTAATATATCATATCAGAAATTTATAAACAAGAGTGCACATGCTGAAATGTCTCGCCTTCTTTACTAACCATTGATTTTATGTTGATAGTCCTAAATATAAAGCTTTACTACAAGTAACACATGACCTTAACATGATCCAAGAAAATGAGGTCAAGGTCAGATAAACCAAACGAGAAATACATGTACACCTTACAATCATTCAATAAACCAAACATAGTTGACCTATTGCTTATAGTTTCTAAGAAACAGTCTTAACAAAGAAAACTTAACATTGACCAATGAACCATGAAAATGAGGTCAAGGTCAGATGAACCATGCCAGACAGACATGTACACCTTACAATCAATTTATGCATTAAATATAGTTGACCTATTGCTTATAGTACCTAAGAAACAAACTTAACCATGAAAACTTAACACTGACCAAAGAACCATGAAAATGAGGTCAAGGTCAGATGATACCTGCCAGACAGACATATTCACCTTACAATCCTTCCATACAACAAATATAGTTGATCTATTGCTTATAGTTGAAGAAAAACAGATCAAAACACAAAAACTAAACACTGAGAAATGAACCGTGAAAATGAGGTCAAAGTCAAATAAAACCTGCAAGACTGACATGTACATCATAAAATATTTCCATACACCAAATATAGTTGACCTATTGCATATATTATTAGAAAAAAAGACCAAAGCTCAAAAACTAAACTTTGACCACTGAACCATGAAAATGAGGTCAAGGTCAGATAACACCTACCAGTTGGACATGTACACCTTACAATCATTCCATATACCAAATATAGTAGACCTACTGCTTATAGTATCTGATATATGGACTTGACCATGAAAACTTAACATTGTTCACTGATCCATGAAATGAGGTCGAGGTCAAATGAAAATTGTCTGACTGGCATGAGGACCTTGCAAGGTACGCACATACCAAATATAGTTATCCTATTACTCATTATAAGAAAGAAATTAACATTACAAAAAATGTCGACTTTTTTTTCAAGTAGTCACTGAACCATGAAAATGAGGTCAAGGACAATGGACATATGACAGACGGAAACTTCGTAACATAAGGCATCTATATACAAAGTATAAAGCATCCAAGTCTTCTAGCTTCTAAAATATAAAGCTTCTAAGAAGTTAGCTAACGCCGCCGTAGCCGGATCACTTTCCCTATGTCGAGCTTTCTGCAACAAAAGTCGCAGGCTCGACAAAAACTAAAGGGAGGTTATTTTAATAGATATAAACCAGTCACCAAAGTTTCATGAAAACTGCTCAAAGCACTTTTGAGTTATTGTCTGAAAACTGGAAAATCCCCTATAAGAAACATTGAATGTCACCCTCTTAATTTGTCATTAAAAATCTATTGTAAATTTATTTGGAGTAAAAACTGAAAAAATAACTTTTGGTGCTAAACACTATTCCAGTCTTCACAATGAACATACAAGTATACTAAGAAGCCGTATAAGGGTCTTCATTTTCATCCTCAACTTTATTTTTATTGTTCCATTAAGCTGGGAAACACTGTATTTACTTTTTCTTTTCCTATTTTAAGGTCTGCTTTGACCTTTTTAGATTTTAGATTTTAGAATACATGAATGCATGGTTGGTTTATATCATTCTGAAAACCATGAGAACTACATGTATGTAAACCAAATCCTATGAAAAGCTGAAACCTGTCTCCAATGAACTTGTTCATAAATGTTTATGAAAGTTATTGCAATTCAACTCATGTACACCAGATATGTGTCTTACTCCAAAAAAAATTCAGTCATATTAACTTTCTATTTACACAGTTACTGATGTTTTTGAACAACCATGATGTTTTATTGGTAAGTTTCTAATCTGTCCTCAAACTGATAATACTTCAATTTTTTATGGGCTTTACAAGATATAAATATGGTTATTGGTCCAGATGAAAAGTTTGAAAAGACTATTTTGAAAAGTTTTGGTACAAAATAATATTCTTTGAAGGAAGTATTAACAAGAGTGCACACGCTGAAATGTCTCGCCTTCTTTACTAATCATTGATATTATGTTGATAGTCCTAAATATAAAGCTTTATTACAACTGTCACATAAACTTAACATTAACCAAGTAAACTAAACATTGACCAATGAACCATGAAAATGAGGTCAAGGTCAGATGAACCATGCTAGGCAGGCATGTACAGCTAACAATTCTTCCATACAACAAATATAGTTGACCTATTGCTTATAGTTTAAGAAAAACAGACGAAAACACAAAAACTTAACACTGAGCAATGAACCTTGAAAATGAGGTCAAGGTCAAATAAAACCTGCGTGACTGACATATAGATCATAAAATATTTCCATACACCAAATATAGTTGAACTATTGCATATAGTATTAGAAAAAAAGACCAAAACTCAAAAACTTAACTTTGACCACTGAACCATGAAAATGAGGTCAAGGTAAGATGACACCTGCCAGCTAGACATGTACACCTTACAATCATTCCATACACCAAATATAGCTGACCTATTGCATGCAGTATTAGAAAGAAAGACCAAAACTCAAAAACTTAACTTTGACCACTGAACCATGAAAATGAGGTCAAGGTCAGATGACACCTGCCAGCTAGACATGTACACCTTACAATCATTCCATACACCAAATATAGTAGACCTATTGCATACAGTATAAGAAAAACAGACCAAAACACAAAAACTTAACTATAACCACTGAACCATGAAAATGAGGTCAAGGTCAGATGACACCTGCCAGTTGGACATGTACACCTTACAGTCCTTCCATACACCGAATATACTAGACCTATTGCTTATAGTATCTGAGATATGGACTTGACCACGAAAACTTAACCTTGTTCACTGATCCATGAAATGAGGTCGAGGTCAAGTGAAAACTGTCTGACGGGCATGAGGACCTTGCAAGGTACGCACATACCAAATATAGTTATCCTATTACTTATAATAAGAGAGAATTTAACATTACAAAAAATCTGAACTTTTTTTTCAAGTAGTCACTGAACCATGAAAATGAGGTCAAGGACATTGGACATGTGACTGACGGAAACTTCGTAACATGAGGCATCCATATACAAAGTATGAAGCATCCAGGTCTTCCATCTTCTAAAATATAAAGCTTTTAAGAAGTTAGCTAACGCCGCCGCCGCCGCCGCCGTAGCCGCCGCCGCCGCCGCCGCCGGATCGCTATCCCTATGTCGAGCTTTCTGCGACAAAAGTCGCAGGCTCGACAAAAATTAGGAAATAGCAGATTAAACACCCCCCCCCCCCCCCACCACAATTAAAATAAACTGTTGACACAGAGATATGTCTCGCCTGTGACCACAAAATTCAGAAAAAGACAATCTGATGGACAATTCAAAGTCGCTGGACCAACTCGTGGGAAGGACCTCGAAATGGTTGAGAAAATTGAGATGTACAAACAGCAATGTAACTTTATAGAAAATATTGTCTATTGTAAGTACCGTTCCTACTCGCTTATTAGTCGGAAAATTGGGAGTAAAATTCATAATCCAGAGAGGGGGGCCGACTAATAGACGAGATCTAGCGACCAGAGGAAAAATCCAAGCTTGAGAAAAGTGGTCAGGAGTGAATTTCCTGGTCAAAACTACGTTTTTGATTGCCAAACCTACATAAATCAATAAATAAAAAGTTTTTGTTGAAAATAAATGACTTCAATACTGTCTTTGTGTTTTATTTGTTCTTTGGTAAACATTTTCTGCAAATTCGTGTTGAAATTCTACTGTTTCCGGTTTGTGTATTGATTTTCATGGTCACATGGTTTTCCTATAAACCCAAAAGAAGAGCCAAGAACCAAAAATGAAAAGGAGATAACAATGTACCAAATATGTGAAAGGATGTTTTCAGCGGAGTTATTGTGTCATTATTGTGATATCATGATATCAATTCAATGCTTATAAATCATATAATAATCAAAAAATAATTTTAAGATTCATTCCCAAAATCAAAATATTATTCATTATAGTGTCTCAGGTAAACAAAAATTACAAAATTGATTGACAAGCCAATATAATCCATTGATAACCCCAATTAAGAGACAAAGAGTTGTATTCACTAAAGGTGTGAAAACTATCAGTGATAGGTAAACAGATGACACTAATGAGTTGGAGTTAGTTATTTTAATATATTGATTAGCTTCACTTAATTTTTTTAATCCTTTAATCATCACAATATAATAAGAATAATGAAGTGTTCATGCTCATTTAACACCGAGTTATGTATGCTGTGAAAAATATTTTCATCAAGTGTTGATTGACTTTAAATTTTTCAGGTTCATATTGGTTTATATTCGCTTTTCTCAAACAATAGGTTGTTAGTCATACCCTACAAAATCATTGATGCATTACATAAACAACACATGGCTAATCTGACATTTGAACAGTGAACAAAACAAGAGAAATGAATACATCTTTATTATTAACAGCAATATAAATTATCATGATGAGCATCAACTAAATTCAAACCAAACAAACATAAATGCAGAAATGAATATTATTCCTGGATTTGCATTGGTTTTACCGGCGTTCAGTTACTGTCAGCTGAAAAAAAAATGCCCAAATTTTGTCCGACTTATACGAGGGTCAAGACTAAATCCTTAGAATTTGGAGCTGAAAAGGGACCCCGACTTATAGTAGGATCGACTATTAGGCGAGTATCTACGGTAGTTCCTATCAAACTAACATAATCATAAAACTTAACATTGAAAATTGTTAATTGATTGAAAGTCACTGGACCATGACCAAGGGGCCAGGGTCTTAAAATAGTCGTCAAACTGATATGAACTGATAGTAATGCAACTTTATAGAAAATATCATTGATTTATCGCAAGTAGTTCATATCAAACTAACTTAAGCAGAAAACTTATCATTGAAAATTGCTAATTAACCATTTCGCCGACGAATCCCGGTTTACCGGGATTCACGCTTCAGACAGCTGACAATGAGTCCCTGTTTACCGGGATCGGAATACCTCTTTTACATTTCCCGCTAAAAACATTGGAAACACAAGTTGTCTTTCTTTGTTGAATATCCGGATGAAAGTGTAAACATGGCGCTTCCGTTTGTTGGAAACCGTGTCAAAATCAGATGAAATTTACGGATTTTACTAGAATTTGAAATAAGGAAACATTTTTTTGGAAAGAATATGGAAGAATTGAAGCCAGACTAGTATACTTTTTTGACATAAAATGCCGTTTTATGTACAAAAACACTTGGAATGGACATCGTTCAGTGTAAGGAATTTGTACAACCTTGTTGAATTTTTTAAACTTTTGCCATTTTGGGTTAAAAAATTACGATTTTGGATCAAAAAGTCGAATTTCATCTCTCTAATGCCGAAAATTTTGATTTTTCATGAAGAAAAAATGATCAAAACATTAACAAAACTGTGTCCATGGTGTAAGTGAATAATATAAAGACATAAATAACTACAGACAAGTTTTTATTGATATTTAATATGAAGATCTCCCACTTGTGTCATAATAGCCAGGGAAGTCATCGTCTCAGAGTAGCTTCTGTCAGGCCGGCTATCGGTGAAAGGGTTAATTGAAAGTCACTGAACCATGGCCTAGGGGGCAGGGCCTCAAAATAGTCGTCAAACTGATATGTACTGATGGCAATGCAACTTCACACAAAATATCATTGATCTATCAAAAGTACTTCCTATCATACTAACTTAAGCAGAAAACTTAACATTGAAAATGGCTAATTAATTCAAAGTCACTGGACCATGGCCTAGGGGGCAGGGCCTCAAAATTGTTGTCAAACTGATATGTACTGATAGTAATGCATCTTCATACAAAATATCAATGATCTATCACAAGTAGTTCCTATCAAACTGCTGAAAACTTAACAATTGTTGACGCTGTCATCGCAGCAGTCACCAGAAAAGCAATCCCTATGTCTCGCTTTCCACGACTTTCTTCGCAGGTGAGACAAACCCAATAGGATTTAACACACAAATTACCAACATTATATTGTAAACAAAAGTAATATACTAATAACTTACCTGGTCCTGGTAATTCTCCCTCTTTGGCAGTACCTGTCCATCGACTTGTCGTAGAAACAAAGGCAGATGATGACATATAATGCTTGGGTTGTCCTTCATAATTTACTGTTTCATAACTTCCAGGGCCTGGTTGTGGCGGAGTATCAGGTAATGGCATAGCAGGGGCAGATATACATAAATAATGTTTCCTCCTATAAAATCAAACATTTTAAATGTATTAGCATTGCTTTTATTTGGTATATTAAGTATCAAGAAGCAGTCATCACACTTTATGCAAATTTCTTTGTCAATTTATGTAACTATTTTTCAAAATCCATTAAAGCTTACTTTATAAAACAAAATTTAAGTAAATGTCTGGAACTTTCATAAAAGGCCATTGTGAATTAAGATCATGCACTTATAAATCTGGAAATATTTTAAGAGAGTAAATTTAGTAAAAACTGTTATTAAAACAATAATGATCTGATCATGTAGAAAAATATGTACAATTTACGATATATATGGTGATCACTGATAAGCAATTCAGTTTACGTTCTTATACTGTAGATTCATAATTATCTGTTGGATATCAATTTTGGTGGATTTCGTGGGTAAATGTGTATCGCAAATTCAAATGTTCAATGAAGTACAAATATTCTATAGGCTTGTATGCAGACTTATGCAAAACCATGAAGTCAAATATCGTTGGAAATACAATTTTCCTCAATCCATGAAAAATAATCTACAGTACTTCTGTTGTTTTTCATTGGCTAGTAGAAATGAGTAAAACTTACGGGAATAACTGTTTTTTTGCTGGGTCTATTGGTTCATTTGGTTTATAGGCTCCTGGACCAGGTACCTTTATTCAAAATATAACACATAAATAAAGACCAAATATCAGACAGAGGTAGTAAAAATCATATATCATATTTCACAAAAGCTAAAACCTGTCTTCTCTACTTTATTATATTTAATTCAACACTTTAACAATTGATTAAACAGTTTGAAGAGAAAATTTGTTTGTGTTAGCAATACATGTTGATCCTTCCTCGACTGTACAAGAGTGCATGAAGGCCCCAAAAGACAGGTACAAGTGTTACAGAACACATCATTATAATGTTACCAAATTAAAGAAATTATTTTGTTTGTGTAATTCTAAGAACAGAAGTGTGAAAAAGCCCCAAATAACTTCGAAATTAATACACTGTGTACTTACTGCTGCAGGACTTGGTGCCATTTGTCTTTTTGACTTTGATTTAAAACTTGATAATGGAACTTTAACATTCTGATGAAGAAGGGCATCATTTACATCATAATGACCTGTTAATAAAACATTTGTATCTTATTACCTTCTATAGGAGTGTTTAAAACAGCAATTCAAACCTCTTTCACTCATATAACTTTATGGCTCTTCTAATACGGAATGGCCATTTATAACATGACATTTAAAACAAGAATGTGTCCATAGTACACAGATGACTCACTCGCACTATCATATTCTATGTTCAGTGGACCATGAAATTGGGGTCAAAACTCTAATTTGGCATTGAAATTAGAAAGATCATATCATAGGGAACATGTGTACGAAGTTTCAAGTTGATTGGACTTCAACTTCATCAAAAACTACCTTGACCAAAAACTCTAACCAGAAGCGGGACAGATGGACGGACGAACGAATGAACACACGCACGGACCGAAAAACATAATGCCCCTAGGTTGGGCATAAAAAAATCTTCAGTGAAGGTGGATAGACACTTAAATGAGCATCCAACTGAACTTTTCTGGGGATCAAAATCTTTGGATATATACAATTGTTTTCTTACTTTACTAATTGGTAATAAATATTTTTTCAAATTTGCAATCATTGGGACAAAACTTAGTCTATCAAAATTTAATTACATATTTTGAACTTTAATGTCTAAATTTCTTAAGATTAATTAACATAAGCAATTGGTTTCTAACTTGTGCTCTTATTTGCAGTTCTTTTTAGACCCTTAGTTCCTTCTATTATCAGCTTTTAAAAAAAATCACAAATTTTTGATACAACATATATGATTATTGATATATGACAGACTCATGGTGATTTAAAGGATGAATATTATACAGCCATTGGTTTATTGTTGAAGATCATATATTAGCTTCCAGTTGACTTAATGTTTTTCCCCTTGGTTTACCCCTTATTCCTTTTTATTCATATGTAAATATGTTATTGGTAATTTGTCAATAGCGATTAATTTCTACATCATCTCCATTTATCTTATATAAATGTCATATTCAATTCATTACATTTTCTGTAAATGCTTTCAATAACTTTACTTGTAAAATGTTTTGTTTGAGTTAATTGGAAAAGCTTGCAATATAGACATACCAGGAGCTGGATTATTTGCAGCAGCGTTGACATTTATCACGTCTCGTTTTGACTGAGATTTGAATGCTGCTCCAGCTGTAACATTATTGGACTTTCCGTATTTAGAGTTTAATACCTGTAAATAAATTTATGTAACATTTCAGGCACAGTTTATTTCTATGATTAAAATAATTATTGTTTTGTTATCCATATATATACAGTATATGTACATTGTCAGAAAATATAAAATTTATTTGTAAGAGCTTTAGAAACAGGACGAAAAGCGAGGCTTGCCAAGCTTTTCTCCTGTTTCATAGTGAGTACAAATGAATTTCATATTTTCTGACAATGTACATATATTGTATATGGATAACAAAACAATAATTATTTTGTGTGAATGCAATAAAACATGTTACATTGTTTGGGGTTAAGAATTAAGATCCTGTTTTTTTAGGTGCAGATATGAAGTGTTTCTCATGAGAGAATATCTCATGGTTGTACTACTTGTTCCAACTTCATTTTAGGAAAAAAATACTCCTTCTTATTAAAAAGGAGATGTGGAGTATCAGTCAGTTAGACATCAACCCAACTACATCTACAGATAACATACAGCTTTCAGCATTAGACAGGTGTCTATACAATATGTCAAACTCTAAAACGTTTCCATTCATTTTAATTGCCTATTTCAACAATAATCAAAAATAACAAAGTCTTTCTATGAACATCATGATAGTGTTCTGATTTGTCTAAATGTTTATCAATGTTATACATGTATATACATTTTTGTAACTTTTGTTTTTCAGGCAATGAATGACAGTCAGGGCTTATGCTGATGGGCGACTTTGGCTACTAGAGAATTCACTTTTCCCTATGAATCTGAAGTATCTATGACATGAAAGGGATGATCATGATCTTGCTGTGTGATTTTTTTTATGCATTGTTGGATTTTTTAGTAACAGCTCAGATAAGAAGAACAATAAAAATGCTGTTCCTTGACTATATTGATTATTACCAAGTATCTTTTGGACAATCGTCTCCTATACATTGACGCCCTTTCCCCCCAATAAACAGTTACCTACATCATAAGTATTTGGCGATGGTTTCTTTTCCACTTTATCTGATACTTTAGCAATAGGTTTATGGAAATTGCTGCTGTTCTCAGCTTTATTGAAATCTTTCCTAGTGACTAACATGCTAGGTAAACCGTAAACTCCAGGTCCTGGTGCTGCTGTTATGAAATATTTTACACCTCGCTTAGTCTACAATTTATAAAATGATATAGAATTAGCAAAACTTATTTTATTGTTTATACATCTTAACTATAAATAACAGGAGAACTGTCAGTTAAGAACCATAACTTGTAAACTGTATGTTCTTCAGATTCTTTCATCACTACTAAAATTAATAATAGGTTAAATCTATTTCTTACAAACAATTGAGAAAACAAGAAAGGGTCAAGTAAATGTGGCAAAAGAACATTTATTTTAGTATCTGGTTTTAAAGCCAAAAATATGTATTTCTGTCTTTTACTGATATAATGATATATAGTGACTTGTGATACATTTTATATTGTTATCATCGGGAAAGAAATTGAATTAGAGACAATTCAAACTGAAAATAAACATTTTTAATTATCACAAAACAACATTCAAAGTGAACAGCAAGGGTTAAGCTGTGAGTATAATAAAAATTAAACGATGTCTATAACTAAATTATATTTTGGCAGGTTTTATTTAAAATTACACCAACTTAATATAAATCTACATTAAAACAAATCTGACTTATCTATGTATGTGCTTATATAAATTTGTCTATTCTTGAGTAAATTTTAAGTAGTTAAAACATTAGAAGATGCAATTATTGCAAATGAGAACTAGGCACCAAAAGACCAAATTGTAAACTACAAGTCACTGTACAGCCTGTATAAACTTTGTAGGTGAGCCAATATACCTAATGAACCACAAATATTTGTAAACAAAAAATCTCTGACATGATATTGGACTTGCTGTTATTTTAATGAATTGATTTACTGTTTTAATGAGCAGAGAACTGTAGAATAAAGATATAAAGATATAACACTATGGAGTTATATTATAATTCATTTTCATCAAACCACAAATCAAATTGAAAAAGTCTCAACTTTGAAACGAGCATTATCCAATTCAATTTATGATATGGACAGGGAATTAAAGAAAATGTTACTATTACATTTTGTACTGACTGTCTAAAATGAATTTCCTATAATGACCCAGGTGAGAGACAGCCTAAATTTGATAAGAATGAATTTCAATAATGTAATTTTCTATTCTTGATACACATATATTTAGCATGAAAAGTAACAAAGAAATTCTGATATATATCAATGCCTCATAGATCCCTTTCCCCATAGTTCTATTCATTATATATTGGTAAAAATTTGGTAAATTGTAAATAATAAACTAATAAAGATGAAGATATACAGAGCTTTCCTTCTAGAAATTGCCTTAAAAAAAATGAAACCGTACAAATATAATTCATGAACACGCTCGAAGTCCTAGGTAACGAGTAAAACAACAAAATATATGATTGATTTGAGGTGAATAGAATATAGACATTATTTCCATAGATGAATAGATCAATATTACCTTTGAAGCAAATCCTCCTGTTCCTTTCTTAGAAAAAGAAGTGCTGTTGTTGTCCATGGTTTCATGTCTGACATAATTTCCAGGACCAGGGGCATCTGTCTGTATAAAGTAAATACAAACTGTAATACTTACTAAGTAATAGTATGTGCAATATACTAATACTCTTGTATCCAAACCGTATATTTTTTAGCAAAGGAAAAAGATTTGCTTTTATCCATTACCCCCAACAATGGTAAAAATCTCACACTACAGTTAATATCATTAATTGCAGACTAATCATTTGTTTTACACCTTATTTGTTTAAATGAATACAAATTTAAAATGCACAGTAGACAAGTCCGTGGTTTTTGGTTTCAGGAATTTCCAGCCACCGTTAAGTTTTGTTAATTCTATTGTGAATCTTGACAAAGGACATTAACACTCTACGAATTGAAGGTCGAAATGTTAATCAATATCCCCCCCTTTCATTTCAGGATCAGAGCTAAAAATTAAGGATAGCCAGGAACCTCTTACATTATGTGACTTGTTTATAATGTTCATGTATGCCTATCTGATATCTTGCATAAAAATTAAGATAAACAGATTAGTTGTAGGTTGTGATTATAGTTGCTAACATCCATGTTATTTGGTCTTTGGTGATTCATCGGTAATCATACCATATCTCATTATTCTTATATTTTTTTGTTATGCAATCTATTGTTTCATCTAGCTTAAAAAATTGGAATGTTATTGTTAACTTTTCATAAAAGGACTCTAACATGCTATATGTATATTGATTGCAGAAGAGCACATTCAAATCTTTTAGGACAAATACAGCATTTACTTGTAAAGACTTGGAATGTTGATGTACATGTATTTTATTTTTTCTTTATGATTCCCAATTCCATGGAAATACAAGATTAATGTAAATCATGTTAAAAAAAGACCAATACTGGGGGTTGCCCTGGGTTGCTGCATGCAATTGATTTAGGTAAGATGTGTATTCAAGCAACACTGATAAAGATGATTTCCAAAACTATGTTCAAATGGACCAGAATAAAGTACTTCAATTAATGTATTGATAGGGGATTAAAATGTTTGAATATTATAACAGTTTTATTAGCATAACAATTATAATATTTCTGAAAAGGTTTGAAGAATCTTAATTGTCATTATCCACAAACAGAATTTAGGAAGTGGCTGCACAGCAAGTGTAAAAATTGCTTACACAGTACAACTCAACAATATCAGTCTCCAACAAAAAAAAAAATAAAAATTTCACTTCCAAAGCCAAGAAAAGATAGATGAAACTGTTTTGTGTACAATCATGACAATGAGTGTTGTCAAATTCAGACTTGGAAAACAGGAATAGCTGCACAGCAGATCTAAAAATTGCTTACATGCTACAATGTACACACCAAATATAAAATCATTCCCTTTTGTAGAAGCCAGGAAAACTTTCTTTGATGAAAGTTTTCTACCAGAGTTTTTTTTTACTGATTCCAGCAGTCACAAAACCTGCTTTTGGGGTTTGTGACATAGTTAAAAAAAATTAAGTCAATACATGTAAGCAATGAATTAAGTAAACTACAATTTAATTTTTTTTTAAAGTATTATATTTATAAAAATAAGATGTGGTACAATGTATGAGTCCAAATGAGACAACTATCCACCTGAGTCCAAATAACACAGAGCTAGGCAACTATAGGTCACTGTACAGCCTTAAACAATAAGCAACACCCATACAATATAATAAGCTATAAAAAAAACCAACATGAAAAAATGTAAAACATTTCAATGTGAATCAGAAAAACCTACAGCCTAGTAAATTTTCTTTTTAAAGTACCACTGATCAATGCAATTACAAAGGTAAGACAGTCTAAATTTTCCTGAAATTACTCTTTCACATTGACAAGTTACTACCAGGTATATGTATATTATTATTTGTGTATAAATCTTGATCACGAGTTGTATCTATATTAAGGTAATGTTTAATCGGAATAACAAGACACTTTATAAACATATAACAAGAGTGCACATGCTGAAATGTCTCGCCTTCTTTACTAACCATTGATTTTATGTTGATAGTCCTAAATATAAAGCTTTACTACAAGTAACACATAAACTTAACATGATCCAAGAAAATGAGGTCAAGGTCAGATAAACCAAACGAGAAATACATGTACACCTTACAATCATTCCATATACCAAATATAGTAGACCTACTGCTTATAGTATCTGATATATGGACTTGACCACGAAAACTTAACATTGTTCACTGATCTATGAAATGAGGTCAAGGTCAAATGAAAATTGTATGACGGGCATGAGGACCTTGCAAGGTACGCACATACTAAATATAGTTATCCTATTACTCATAATATGAAAGAAATTAACATTACAAAAAATGTTGACTTTTTTTTCAAGTAGTCACTGAACCATGAAAATGAGGTCAAGGACAATGGACATATGACAGACGGAAACTTCGTAACATAAGGCATCTATATACAAAGTATGAAGCATCCAGGTCTTCTAGCTTCTAAAATATAAAGCTTTTAAGAAGTTAGCTAACACCGCCACCAGATCACTATCCCTATGTCGAGCGCTCTGCGACAAAAGTCGCAGGCTCAACAAAAATGATACATGTTTACAAACAAAGTATATATACATGAACATATAAAATTATCTTTCCATTCATTTTAATGCTCATCTCCAACATGCCAAGTAAAATATGTAGACAAACATTTTGATAGTAAAATAAAACTTTTCAGACCATAAATAATGTATTTGTTTTACACTCACCATTGCTTCATCAAAACGGAAGCGTTTTGCTTGGCCTAGAAATCCTCTTTTATCCGCATTATCTGTTACAATAGTTTGATATCTACTTGGTATTGATGAAGTTGCAGCAACAATTCCATGACCTGCAAATATACATGAATGTTAAATTATATGTCATTAATAGATGCTAAATATAAAGTATAGAGCATTTGGTGCATATATTTGGTATCAAGTACTAGTACTGTAATAACTTTTCTGAAGCAGAGGATATTGGCCTGACAGGAACCTTGAAACATGTTATGTACAAAAGTAGCTTTTACTATAGTTCTCAATACTTACAACACATTTAATCCTGTCTCTGACATACAATATAAAAATCGTGTTGTGTGGTACATGTTCATGTATGATTGCAATGTTACAAATAATCACCAAAGACACATATTTTACTTTTAAGCCACGGTCAGCCAATTTTCCATTGTACCTTTATCTTAAGGTTTTTTGTTTTGTTTTTCTGTTTCTGCTTACTGTTTCGTTTTTTTAAATTTGTTGGCCCCAAAAACTTTTCTCTTTTCAAGCATTTCAAAATATGTTTATTTGTTGCCAGATGAACTAGGATGATGATGGATGGATGCTTAACGTCAATCCGAAAATTAAATGCATATTCAGGACAAGAACATGTTATTGTTTTATGGATATTAACCCTGCTTTGTACTAGAGCGACCTGCTGAGTCAGATTTCTAACATGCTAGTTCACAAGGTAACACTCCACAGGAAGACATGTCACCCTTCCAAAACATATTATTTTGACTCTGAGCCGACCAGTCTTCGCTCTTAGTCCTCAATGCTGTGTGCTTTTCTCTGGGAATTCAAGGCCATTCACTTTTGTCTTTAAAGAGGTAAAGGTTTATTTTTTGTCAAAATGATATATGATGCTGGTATACAAAATATAAGGAAAAGTTTAGGTCTGGATGTCTCAGCTGCTCCCACACACCACAAAAGGATCGAAGTGCCCCTCCCCTCTGAGCTGATTGACCAATTACAGGTTTTTCTTAACCTGTATATCACTTTGGTTGCCTAAATTTAAAAAAAGAAGGAGACACAGCACATCATTTTATAAACGAATGACTTCCATTTTTTGTAGTCCAAATAATTATGACGTCTTGAAAGGCTATAATATTTTTTTGCTTTGATGCCTTACAGCGACGTCATAATGCCGAACTCACATTTTCAGTTGGACTTCGAGGGAGAATTACTGCTTTATTAAAACGTTTAGCTGATTTCTCTTTAAGATGCTTTACTTTAGGAGTATAAAATATATTTTTGCACCAAACTCGGTAAAATTTGACGGACCTGCTGTTCCTAATAATATAAAAACAAATGTTCCGGAAATTCAGGTCTGTCAAATTTTACTGAGTTTGGTTCAAAAATTTATTTTATACTCTCCTAAAATGAAATCAGATAAATGTTTTAAAAAAAGCAGTAGATAATCGTCTGCCTCGGATGGAATTGTAACTTATTTTATCATTACTTTAGGGTTGCACAAACAAACACATAAAAAGTAAGAATTTGTATCCCTATATATGCAAAAATTTCTAGCCTTCAATGAAAATTTTATGACTAAATTGGGTCTCAAAGTTGAGAGCAAAATTCCCTCTCATAACCCAACCAAAAAAGATGGCTTCAGCGTTATGACGTCGCTGTAAGGCGTCAAAGCAAAAACATATAGTTCATATTAGTTGCCTTTCAAGACGTCATAATTATTTGGACTACCATTTTCATTATTTGGGGCTGTGGAAACGGAAATCTTACTACCTCTGAAAACACAGTATTCATTGATGAAGGTCTAATAAGATATTTGTTATTGTCGTACCCTTATGTAAATGGCCTGAAGGATTTCGACTGTGAACTCGTTTCACATAATCATCATCGATAACTCGGATACTATCAGCAGCAGCCATGTCTAAACAATTTGTGACCTAACAACATACAAGCGGATATTTATCCGCCATATGAAATTTTCTTGCTTTTTCGCATAACTCATGGTATAGATTTTAATATACCCATCTACTGTATTCATGGTACAGAAAGAAAGTTTTTGTAAGTAATATAATCAAATATTTGTGTGAAAATCGATGTTTTTGCTTTATTTACTTCCACCAGCGTAGTAATTTTGATTTGTTGTTGCTAAGGTAAAAACTATTGCGAAAGGGGACTGATAACCAGTTGATAACATTTATATACATGCTGGAATTCTAATAAAAAAATATGGTATTAGTTTTACTATCATGTGTATAATTTTATTGTTTTTACATAAATTTTTCGTTCCCTTAAGCAATCTTTTTAATTTAATTACATAAATAAAAAATTACATAAGGATTTATTCCATCCTGAAACCCCTTTTCCTCACTTGGTTTGCCCAGGTATGATTTCATTGGCTTAACTAAAAGTTAGCGCCAGATTATGAAGCATTTTCGCGGAATATATAAATTCATTGTTTGACTGAAAACTGAGTTGAACGAACGGTCGATTTAAAAAAGAAAAAAGTCTTAACATATTTACAAGTTTTATTAATTTTAGAAGAATTATTTTATATTTGAAGAAAATGACGTCCGTTCAGTCACCAAGAAAAATACAGGAACTAAATTCAAGAATGAAACAAACAAAAATAAACGACGAAAATGAGGTAAGTTCTCTGTGTGGATTTTTTCCAGTTTAATATTGCAATTTTCTTGAGGTTGAATGGGACATATAGTTGGAACCCCCCCCCCCCTTTATAAATGGCTGGATCCGCCCCTGTGCTCATCATTTAACTAATATTCGCTTGTTCTGTCCATTTTGGCGCCGTCCGTGCTCGTGTTCTGCATGCGTATGACTATGAATAAAGTTCACTGAAGCGTATCGGGATATTTCAGCATAATTTTCATAGCACCAGTTATGTAACAATAGTGAAGGCCACGAATTAAAACTTTTCCAGTTGCACAAACTTGTCTGTATTTGTAGTATATCTCGCGGTGTACACTTTTTTTTTAGCTTCCTCAGTGTGAATAGGAACACCTTTTATAATATTAATATTTCAACAAACTAACAACACAAGAATGTATGTTATTTTTTCATCTTTACATGTATGGGTGTTGTGAGTGTTTCTTCAAATAGTATTCATGGATTAAATCATGTTGAGAAGTTTCTCATTTATAATGGATATTATAACCCCGCCAAATCGGGTATTAATTTTCATTGATAAAAACTTTAATTTTGTATTTCATGACAATGAATTCTATGGAACAAACCTTTTAAAAGATTTGTAGAGGCATGTAAATTGTAGTTGATGATATAATTTTTGTTGGGTATTGTATCCATTTTCAGGGACCTTCCCAAATCTGGTTATGATGAATCTTCAGTTGCTTTTTTTCACAATAAGACTAAATAAGTAAAGTTAAATGTTAGTATTTAACATTTCAGGTTCCAGTAAATCATTCAATCAGAAAAGTCAAAGTACTTGGAGACAGTCAAAAACAGGTATTTGAGATAACAAATATTTTGTCTAAAAAATTTTTTGGGTTTTGCGGCTTATTTGCCATAATTTGGACATGGTTCTACAGCAAGACAAGTCCTTGTCATGTTTAATTCAAATTTGATGTTTTTACATTAATGACCATGAAAGGAAAACGGTATAGTTTTCTCTACCTTATTATATATGGCTATAGCAAAAGTATACAAGTTGATACATTTTTCAGAAATATGATGAGCGTTTTATTTTATTATGTTATGATGACACACCTGCAAGATTTATAATTCCTGGATTGTATTTTTATATTGTAGTCTTCACGATAAACTTTTAATCTACATGTACAGGCCCAAAGTATAATTTTACGAAAATTTTAGTGGATTCTATTGGCCTGTAGAGATGATTTTTACAAGCCTGGGCTGGTGGGCCTGTGGTTTAGCATGAAGACTGAATATTGGCAGTTAATCAATATTAGATATACTCATAGTGACATTTGAATCTAGAAAAAAAGGAAATAGTTTGCATACAATACTTTGTCTAGAGCTTTTACTTTGTAATGTTCTGAAATTACCAAAGTTGACTTGATGTATGTTTTTCTTTTTCAGAATATAATCAATGTTCAACAAAATGAGGTAAGAATCCTTTCATTTCTAGTGCCTTGTGTGCAAGTTTATGGCAAAATTCTTCCATAGTCAATAATGGATCTCCGTACCTTATCAAAATTGTAAGAACAAATCTACCAAAATTTAAAAAGGTATTATTTTGATGCTCTTAAGATTTCATGGCAAAGACATATTTTCTGTTGAAGTCCTATAATTGTAGTTTCTATACCCTGAAAAAATTATAGGGGTGTATTATGTTTACTGAACTGCATTTGTTCATTCTGTTAAAATAAGATGTGGTATGATTGCCAATAAGACCACTTTCCACCAAACTATAAAAATCGTTAAGTTAATGTGTTCATTCAGAAGTGAACATTATAAATATGTCATTTTTCAATGACCATGCACATGATAATCTGCAGCTGGGTAGTAACATGGCAACACATTCTTGTTTTAACATTTTTTCACTGCTGGGAAGATATCAAGATACCAATTTATTTAAACAGTTAAGTTTTGGTCTTTCAGAATCTTATTTTATTGTTTTAATTTAAGGTTATAAAGCCTACAAAGCCATTGATCATGAAGAAAACTGAGGAAGAAGAGCCATTGTTGAAGGATAATCCAAGACGATTTGTTGTCTTCCCCATTGAGTATCATGACATTTGGAAAATGTACAAGAAAGCAGAAGCCTCCTTCTGGACAGCTGAAGAAGTTGATTTATCTAAAGATCTGATTCACTGGGAAAGTCTGAAAGATGAGGAGAAACATTTTATTTCACATATCCTGGCTTTCTTTGCAGCTAGTGATGGCATTGTGAATGAAAACTTGGTATGTTTTTGTTAAAAGTGAAGTCTTGTTACAAGTTCGACTGGAAAATTTTTATAGTTGTTTACCTCTAAGTGGTGATATACATGATTTTTATATAATTTATACCAACGGTTTATATTAGCAGTGTCTTGGATGATTTGAATTAAAAAAGTGCTTGTCAACATTAAAATTATGGAAAATTCCATACATTTCTGTAGGATTATTGTGAAAAACTTTATAAAAAAATGTATTGTAGTGTTTTGCATCTTTGAAAGAAATATATGGGAGACATTGGAATGCTGTTGTCTTTAATTTAATTTAGAAAGTCACGTTATTGAAAGAGAACAACTATTTATTAGTCCTTATATATTGTATCATTTTGAGTGCAACAAATTTATAAAGTTTTTTTTATTTTTCAGGTGGAACGATTCAGTAAGGAAGTTCAAGCTACAGAAGCAAGGTGTTTCTATGGTTTCCAGATAGCAATGGAGAACATTCATTCTGAAATGTACAGCTTGTTAATTGATACATACATAAAGGATCCAAAAGAGAGGTACAAATTGTTTCATTTTAATTTGTAATTTTTTAACTGTACTATCAATCCATATGGATAAAAATGTAACAGCTGTTGTGGGATAATGGGAGTCAAAAATGTTAACCACAATGGATAGCTTTGAAAGGTTTAACTTTCACAAAGTAATGTTTCATCTATGCTTGTTTTTACAGCTCTTTTCATAATGCTAGCAAGACAATGGTTTGTTTGACTTGCTTGCTTTGTGTGTATAAATGTTTGCTCAAGCATTGTAATTAAGATTGACATCTGCAAACAATATAAGGGCGGAGTTAAACCTGTGTATAGGTAAAGATTACTTGACAATGTCCAATCAAATTTAAATTTAATGTATACAAGTTTAAATCCACCTTTTTATGTTTTCAGATGTCAATCTTAATTACAATGCTTGAGCAAACATTGATACAAACAAAGCAAGCAAGCCAAACAAATCTTTGTCTTGCTAGCATTATGAAAAGAGCTGTAAATTTCAGAACTTAAATAGGTATATCACCAACTATTACAATGTAACTTGTTTATGGGAGCTTAGGGTTTTTAAATATCAGATCTTTTTTAACTTCTACTTAAAAAATATGTTTCTTAACATTATTTTATTTTTAAAATTTATGGATGGTGTATGTTGTATTAATTTGTAGGGATTACCTATTCAATGCCATAGAGACACTACCATGTGTGAAAAAGAAGGCAGACTGGGCCATAAAATGGATAAATGAACAAAATGCATCATATGCAGAAAGAGTTGTTGCCTTTGCAGCTGTTGAAGGGATATTTTTCTCTGGTAGTTTTGCAGCAATATTCTGGTTGAAAAAGAGAGGAATTATGCCTGGTCTCACATTTAGCAATGAGCTCATCAGCAGAGATGAGGTAAGAATAGATTAGAATATTTCCACACATAAACTTCACATTGGAAGCTAAAAATTACTTGTTCTTGCGTTAAAACTCCTAAAAATCGTAATGAAACAGGTGCAGCAAGGCCAAAAAAAATAGTGCTTCCTGTCTTATGGTCTAAGACTATCATTAGTTTAATGCCTTTCCAAACAATTGTTATACCCCATCTTTCTAAAGCAGTCAGTATATGGAATTTCGTGTCCGAAACTGCTACATGCTTGAAACTTCCACAGAATTTTACCTACATGATGTATTTTGGCACCTATTTTTTTTTATTTGAACGATTTCCTACATGTATCTTTACCACAAGAAATACAGATAAGAAATCACAAATGTACCATTGTGCATGCACTAATTACTGGATGCATATAGAGATCAGACATGTATTTATAGATTGTCTATATTTTTTTTTTTTTACTAAAGGCAGAGAACCGTCATTATTAGGCCTCGTAGACATTTAGATTTTGTTTGTTTGTTTTTTTTGCATTTTTGTCTGGTATTTTTCCTTTGACCATCCTTTGAAAGAATTTCTGTCCTTGAAATATATTTATGCTTGTTGCAGGTGGAGACATTAATAGAAAACCTTCACATAAAATTATTTGATCAAACTTTTTTTCTCTCATAGGGACTTCACTGTGATTTTGCCTGCCTCATGTACAATCATCTGGTAAACAAACTGCCACAGTCTAGAATTTACGAGATAATTAAGGATGCTGTACAGATAGAACAGGAATTCCTCACAGAAGCCTTGCCATGTAACCTCATTGGAATGAATTGTAATCTGATGAAACAGTATATTGAATTTGTAGCTGATCGACTTCTTCTTGAACTGCATTGTGAAAAGGTATGTTATAAATCTAAACATCTTCCTAGTTTTCTTCAGGCTAAACCAGTTTGCTTATAACTATTAAACTGATCATCAACCAGCAGAAGCTCTATTTCCTTTCAATGAGAATGATTTTCATGCCAAATGGCTTGTTCGTGAATACTGATTGGCTTGAATGTTTATTGAAACAATGTTAAGAAGACTAAAACAGAAAATTCTTGATTCTTTTGTGTCTGCAAAAAGAACTACAGAATCGAAAGTGAGAAATACTTTTAAACAACAGACCACTTTCGAGTAATGTCCTTCACATGAAAAGTTTGTCAATTATGGGTGCCTTTATGATGTCATTTACCAATAGAGGGGCCTGTCTATCCCTGCACTATTAAAGTTAATCAAGCGTCTTCGTGATTGTCATTATACGGGATAAACTAGAAATAATGTTTGTTCCATAGGAACTTAATCACAATTTCCTAATGACAGCAGTGCTGATTATCAATTACAAAAATTTAATTTGCCGAATAATTCGTACTAAAACCAAAGTTTTTGATGGAAATGCAATGAACGCAAGATTAATGTGGCCATCGTAGAGTGGAATATAACGAGTGAATTATTCCGGTTACTTCGTAAGTATATCCAACAACAACTGGTCTGTTGGTATATTTCCGTGAACACAAAAAATGACCGTAAAGTGTCAGTGATTTCATCGATCACATGCCAAGATACAATTTCCATTCCATATCTTAATTCAATTAACGAGTAATTGGAAGATTGGCGGTAATGCAGATGAAAACTTTGAACTGCGTTGTTGTTATTCCTGTCAATTTAATACTTCCTTGATATTATCAAGTCCATGCATTGTAAATTGTTTATTTTAAACTTTTTATAATTTGGATATACGTTTTAGTATGTTATAAATCAAATATGAGAATTTGAGTCAAATTGGTGAACATGAATTTGACAGCTTAATGCCTGTTTAAACACACTGTGTATTGTTGGGGGAAAAAAACTAAGTATTTAATTTTGGAATGATGCAATATTCATTTACTATGCGACACCATACATATAATAGAACAAATTTGTTCCTTTTTCATATCTTACTAGTGTTTTCCTTGAAAGGTAATGGTAAATTATTTTTTATTCCTATAACATTACCATCCTTTCAGTCGCTATCCCATCATTGAAAAAAATTCTGGATAAGAAACTACCTTACTATATTTTCCTGTGTCATATTACATGTTTTAATATTGGCTTATGTTTATTTCAGATATATAATGTAGAAAATCCATTTGACTTTATGGAACAGATTTCACTTGAAGGAAAAACAAACTTTTTTGAAAAGAGAGTAGGAGAATATCAAAAGATGGGTGTCATGTCGGGAGGAGGCGATACTCATTCGTTTACATTGGATGCAGATTTTTAAATGCTTTCATTAGATCTCATATTGTTGTTCAAATCTTTTATCAGGTCTCCATTTAAAGTGATTTTAGAAAGTGACAAGATGAAAAATACTCTTATCCAAATGATGTTTTTTTTTATATATAATATTTAGCAAAACATGATTTATCAAAGTTCAGTTTATATTTAAACTTTTGTATCTTTTAAACATTTTGTTTCATTATTTTTTTTAATTTTAAAATCAAGTTCATGCCATTTTATTTTTTTGTTCTGATTTTAAACATTTTAATTTGATAAAGAGATTTAAAACATGCCTCCAAGTTTTAAAGTGCAATCATTTTAGGTAGTGCAAAACATCAAATAATTTAAGGTTTTAGTATGAATGTAGTGATCGATAGATACAAATATGAATGTGTATGTGTGCCATATTGTCTTTTATAAATATTGTTTTATTTAATTTTGTAATAAATTATTATGTATTAAATGGCAATTGTTCCTATTTTACTACAAAAGTGGAATGTTGGGTCTTTGCCACCAGCAGGTAAAATGACTAAAAGGAAACGTAAGCTTTCATATATGATACAGAAAACAAACAGACATTTTAAAGGTCAACATAAGTCTTCAACAATAGACTGGTGTCTTATATTATGGAAGCTGTAAATTGTCGAGTAAAAAAATTCAACAAATAAAGGATCTGTTGTCCCAAATAACAAAAACATTGATATTACAGACTGCTGATGAAGTTTCTGATTAAACGATATGGGTTATACCAGATGTGGGAAATACATCATTGAGATGGCAACATAAGTCTTACAATGTAGAACCTCAAAATTGTCCTGATTATGATGAATGGGATCAACTATATAAGGTCATCAACAATATTCTTCAATTAATAGAACCATTTCGATATGACGGAACCAAATAAAAATAGTTGCTAGACTGAAATTTTGTCCCTCTATTCCATTATATAAAAACAAGGTATCTAGCATATTTGAGGAATGATAGTCAAAACTTGTAGTTGGATTCTGTAATTTTAAATTCTGCATCAAATTTATATCTACAAATAGTGAATGACACACCCATCTTTGTTGTCAGAATCATTCATAGCAGGCATTCCAAAGTAGTCTGAACGATAAAAACAACTGAATAAAGAACCATGAAAATGAGGGCAAGGTCATATGAACCCTGCCAGACAGACCTGTTCACCTAACAATCATTCCATACTACAAATATACATTACCTTTAGCTTATACATATATATTAGATAAACTGACAAAACCACGAAAACTTAACATGGACCAATGAACCATACCAATTGCTAAAATGTTTTACCAAATTGGTGGTTTGGATTCACCTCTTCAACCTTATCAACCGAGGAAGAAAATAGCTCGTGGCTTTTCTGAAAAGTTAGTATGAAGCAAGTGCAGGGAAATATCTTTTGAATATGCACAAAAATGGACTTCAATTTTACCCTTTGATGCCATGGAAGCTGTGTGACTGCAAAAAAATTAATTCAGTTATCCATGTTTGTAAATTGTAGTAACCTGAATGATGCAGCAAATCTGTGATGTAGTGTCTCTAACAGGATTGTAATTTTAAAATGTAGTAAATTTGCAGCAGGACATGAACTAAAAACACATAACTACAGAGTATAATGTGTCAGTAAATTAAGGACTGTTCCTGTTAAAAGCGGCTATCATTTCTTTTGCCTCGCCTACAATAGAAGTAGGCATTACATTTTCTAATCGGGGCATCTGTTTGTCTTTCTGTCCCATAAATGATTAAAGTCTTAGTTTAAGGTAGTTTCCCTTGAAGGTTTTGGTTACATAGACTTGAAACTTAGTACAGTAAGTACTCATTTATTAAAACAAGATTAATATGGTGTGAACTTTCTATAACATATGCCAAATTAAGAGTATTCACCATAAATTTGTTGTTCATTGAACGTAGAAATGTGATAATGACAGTAGGGCATATTCTTTGGATGCATACACTGGTTTATTCCTATTCATTTACTGGTAGAACCCAGGGATGCTGAAAGATTTAGTTTGCTGTGGCATGTATAATGGACCTCAGTATGAATATGGAAGTATCATATTCAAAATTGAAATTGAATATAATACTTCCATGGTATGGACTTATAAATATAAAAATAATGCAACTAAAAGCAATTATTCAGAAATTTTTATTAATCATTTATACATTCATGTTGGTTTATGAAATTTTTATCACTTTCAATCCTCTTTGTTCGGTGGACCAGATATAGAAGTGCAGCCAATCCTCTTCAAATTGCATTAGTATTCCAATTTCCATTTCAAATAGTTGATTTTTGGTTCAATGCACCTTTAATTTCCTGAAGTTAATGGAACTTACCTAAATTTTGAAATCACTTTCAAACAGGCTCACTCTAAAAGTATTGGAAATAAAAGAACAGAGTTCCAATGTCATCTGTGTCGCACATATTTTATCTGTTCTGTCAAAGGGCAATAACTAAAAAATTTTGTTTGTTCTTTAAAACTTTTTTAACTTATCTTACTAGAGAGTTGAAGACTTGAGAGCAATTTCCAATATATTTAATATTTTCAAGGGAAACTCATTAAAAATATTTGATCGGCACTTATTTTCAAAATTGTCCAAGGCATTGCTGCTTTATACCTTTGAATTTGATAAAAATCTGGCAAAAATTGTACATGTGAGAGCACAGCACTACAATGCAAATTTCCATAAAATTTATATTTCTAAGGAGCATAACTCTTTTTAAAATAGTTGATCAGCACTGATTTTCAAACTTGTCCGAGACATTGCTGACATAAACCTACAATATAAGTTTCATAAAAATCTGGCAAGAATTGTACACATCATCTTCACTACCTAAGGGTTATGATCCAGTCCCCTCCGCTTCACCCTTGGCGGAATTAAGATGAAAATTCGGATCCACAAGATAATGATTTTCATTGGTTGCAGTTGTTACTGGCTGCATCCAATCAAAAAGCGCATTTAAGATGATCATGTGTTAATGGAGAAAATGTAAATAAACAATTGCCACATGCTGATTGTGCGACCCCCAAAACAAAGGACATATTAAGGGACAGTTTTAAAGTTCTTAATTAACTAATTGAAGTTCCTGGATATGCAAATGTTGGAATGTCCACTAATATTTCCAGTTCCTACTTCACGAAATTTGTAAACAGTAGACACAGCCATTTAACACCTCCACACCGAAGAGAGTTCTATGCTGCCATAGGTCAAGAATGATGTAGTCAGAATGGGCGTGACTTTTGTCTACCGGTAGATAGCACAGCATTGTAATCACAAATGTTGGCTTAATCTTGATCGTAACCCTTGGCTTGCGAAGGTGTGTACACATGAGAGAGCTAACGACGCAATTTTCCATATAATTAATGTTTCCAAGGGGCATAACTCTTTTGAAAATAGTTGGTCTGCACTGATTTTCAAACTTGTACGAGCATGGCCAATATAAACCTACAATATCAATATAAGTTTCATAAAAATTTGGCAAGAATTGTACACATGAAAGCGCTAACAATGCAATTTTCCTTATAATTAATGTTTCCAAGGTTATAACTCTTTTAAAAATGTAGATCGGCACTGATTTTCAAATTTGTCCGAGACATTGCTGACATAAATCTATGATATAAGTTTTATAAAAATCTTGCAAGAATTCTATGTGAGAGCGCTAACAAGACGGCTGGACGGACGAAAGGATGGGCGGACGTTCGGTATATCTATGTCCCCCGCAAGTCGTTTTGCGGGGGACAACAAATTAGACAAAAACCTATTCTTTGAGTAGAGGCCATAGTATTAAATGTGCACTATTCAATTCAGGTAAACGGTAAAAGATCATTAAAGTAATACTTAAAAATTCCTTCTTCCATATATCTTGGATATGTATGATGACATGTTTTGAAGCTAAGTAATTTTTATGTATGTGGTAATATCTACTTGATACTATATGAGATAAAATTTGCTTTAATTTAACGAACGATTGAAAGCCCTTTTAGATACGGCTTCTAAGCCTGAATACCGGTAATCACAATTTTCATCCAATGGAATCCTTCCAAGTTCTGTGTCAACAAATAATACTCTATTATTTCATCTTTATTTCATGGTCCTCTGATTTCAAACAGCACAAATGATGATGCTAAATCAATTCTTTAAAACAGTAACATATCATGGCAGAGGTATTTTTTAAGTTTACAAATCATAATGGTGTTCCTCACTTTGAGATCCTGTTAACAAGGATACCGATAATTTGTTTTGAACAGGATTTTTCAGATTTTTTTCTATAATTTCACTAATATGATGTATTTTCAACAATAGTGGTCATTTTGATTTACCACTAGGCCAAAGGGATAATAGCGGCAAGTTGAATAGTGGTTTCAGGGGTGAGGACTTTAATCAAAGTGCTGGATAGCACCTGTGGAAAGTTTGCAACGGTAGATGTGTATTATTTCAAATAGGTTGTAGATGTGTATTAATTCAAATAAGTATTTAATCACAGGTTTGATGTTTTTTTCACTAAATCATTGTTTCGTCAGCAATTATCAAAAATCACTTTTTTTTCATATGTCTGTCATGTAAAATTTTGATATTTTCTATTGCAACCTTAAACTGTAGATTTAAAATAATCCAGTATACAGAAAGCTCTGTTAATTTCTTTATGTGCCCATCCCATGTCAAGGGCCTGTGATTTTAGTATTTTTTATTGATTCAGGTCCTTCTTTTAGTAAATACTAATTAAGCCATTAGTTTTCTTGTTTGTATTGTTCCACATTTTTCATATCAGGGCCTTTTATAGCTTAGGGAGTTACCATTTGATTTTTATGGGGGGGCTAGGATGAAATTTGAAAAAAATAGGCAGGACAGGAGTTTTGAGTAAAGAAAAAAGGCAGGATGAGATTATTTGCAAAAAAAAAAAGGCAGGATGACAATTTATGTAAAAAAAAAAAGTCGGGATAAACTAAAAAAAAAAAGGCAGGACCGAATAGAGTGAAAAATAAAAAGGCAGGACCGAATAGAGGGAAAAATAAATAGGCAGGACAACATTTTTCATCCTAGCCCCCCCATAAAAATAAAATGGTAGCTCCCTTACTATATGGTGTGAGTTTTTCTCATTGTTGACGTCCGTATGGTGACCTATAATTAATTATATATCTTCCTCCTTTGAACTCTTTTGGATAGCTGGTTCATTTGCAAAAAATACCACATCTCCTATTTTAAATATTAAAGACAGCAAACTTAAATCAATACAACTGTAATGAAAGTGATTTTATATGAAAGGCTTTAACCAACAATGGCAATATGTAGACAGGAATAAAAAGTTAATATACACTAGATTCATAGAGGTACTTATAACCATGTAATACATTTTAGTTGCTGCTGTGAAATTCAGCATTGAGGCAATGACATTTTGAGATTTTTGGTTTTCAGCCATTCATTTGATATAATCATTGCCTCTGTGTTGAGTTGACACATTGTTAATTATAGGTAAATCTTAAAGAATCATACTGACCAAGGAACAAAGTGTGAGGTTCATAAGTGTTAATTCTGAAATTGAATGTCAAGGTCAGTATGATGAATTAAAGTGCTACAGTTCAAAACGTCTGCACAAAAAACACAAACCATACACCGTTTAACTATCATAGGGGTCAAATGAGAAAGGTCAGAATGATCTGACTTTGGTATATGATACACCCCAAGCAGAAATGCAACAGTGAAACTGCATACCATGCAGTTACTCCCTAGGTTTACCAAAATGTTAAGGTACATGTACAAAAGGTATGACCAAGACACGAATTGTACAAGGTTTTACTTTCATAGGTATCAAATGACAAAGTCAGGGTCGAAGTGATCTGACTTTGGGATATGACACGTCCAAAGACCATGATGCAATTGCCTACTGAGTTTGATAACCCGAAGTTTAAAGCACAAACTTCATGAAACGGCCACAAATTGGATAAGGTCAACTATCATAATCATTTCTATGATTTAACCTTTTCTTTGAGTACTTAGAGAACATTTAAGTATTGTGTTTTATTCATGCCATCATCTGTTTTATTTGTATGCAATGTCATTGGCATAGATATATAAAAAATTATTTGCTATACATATTTATAACGTGATAAATAAACAAACAAACAATAACCAAAGTTATGCATGGTTTTTAAGCATTAAGAAAGTCATTTTTCTAGAAAACTTAAGACTCATTGTTTAAAACACTTTAAAATATATAAGTTAAAGCCAAGGATTTGTATAGTAAGATCTTACTATACAAATCCTTGGTAAAGCACTGTCTATATTACATGGACAAATGTTTTTTAATAAGTTCTACAGAACTTGTCTTGGCACACTGGGTTATTCTAAGAAGTAGAAGCTGATTTGGCTGCTTTTAATACAATTGACTCTGTACTAAAGTAATCCTTATCCTTGAAACAGTTTGTGTAGTTGTTAATCTTAACACTTATGGGGCTGTGAACTATCGTTGAGTCAATGTTTTTCTGCTGTCAGTTTGGATCCACTTGAGCATGCTGAAGGTCCTTATATCCGCATTGGAATGTGAAAGAGCTAGTATTTGTTTGCTGAATTGAAAATTTATAAATGGTTTTTGGCATCAAAACCTTCTGATCAATGTTTTGACAAAAACAATGCACTTTTCTTTCAAATCCGATATTTTAATACCTTTACTCATCCTTGCCATACGTGTGACATAGACAGAAGCAATATGATTATCAAGTATTTAATATCCTGTCACCTGTTTATTGTTCAATCAAACTATTATCACTTGTTAATTACCCGCTGGCCTGGTCAAAATGTACACATGTTGCGTAATCAATAATGTCAGTAATACCAGATACTTTCGATACACTCAGGCTTTTACGTCTTTAATAACATTTGTAAATATCGTAGTAAAAAATGGCGCCTGAAAATGTTCATTCATGAAATATTTTATACACGGGATTTTTTTTCTCTTCAACTGGAGGACGGGAGGAGACCCCTGAAACCGGGATTATTGTACTCCCATCGGGAGGTGGTAACATAAACATAGAAAATGAATGACAGTTCAAAGTATGCATAATCTATGAAGGTCAAACCTAATACCATTAACAAACGTAAAAATTGAAAAGATTACAATATTCTTAACAATAAGAATACTTTTATTTCATGAATAAATGGAAAAAAAACAACACCCACCTCGAAATAAATATCAGGCCCTCTAAATTTTCTATGAATTAAACGTAGAAACTGCTGTCTCATGTAGATTTGTATTGATTTTATCTTCCGAGCAGGGCAGATCCGCGAAGTAGTGTTAGTGATAACCATTTTCAAAATGAAGTTGAATTCATTTGAATTGTAGGTGAGCATTCAGTCCATTTTTATTCAGGCTGTTAGCTTATCAAAAAAGTAGTAACTCAAAATTTCAAAAGCATCTTCCTAGAATTAGTATTCAAACACTAGTACTACATTATCTAGGAGTAGAACACCGGAAGTAAGTTAGTCTGTCCTACTTCTGGTTTGAGGCTGATGCCTTAGTAAAGTATATTGCTATAGCAAGCTATAGCAAACTTTCAAAAAATGTTAACGATAGATACCAAATGATAGCTTATTGGCCAGGTTAGCTAATGAAAGATAAATACACCAATAAGTGATTTAGCATAATTTTATGATGGAAAAGCACTGTTATAGTCATTGAATTAAAATAACAAGCCAAGAAAAGCACATAAATATACACAAACCTAACTTTGGTAAACAATATCACAGATACATTTCTACAATAACAAAATGAAAGGTCATAGAGAACAAAAAATCTGTTGAAAGCTGTCACAACAGATTTCAAATAACATATAAAAGAAATTAAAACATACAAATGTTTACTCTTGAGACATTATCATTCAACATAATTTCAACAATGAGATTGCACATATTCCCACATTACTTTTTCTGTAATTTAAAAACTGAATTTAATATATTAAATGCACAATAATATGTGTTTGCATGAGTTTTTGAACAGACCTACCAAATTTAATGAAAATGTTAGAAGAAAGTGAGAGATGGAAAAAATCCACGTCTTCAGACTTTATTTTGAAAATTTTCAACCATTTTTATAAAAGAAATTAACTATTATGTATCAGTTTAAATCAAGTGCTAAATCATACACATAAGATAACTCAGAAATTTCAAATATGTAGTCTTCAAAGAAAGTGTGTCTCCAGGGGGGTCTCTTACTATATGAAGGTAATCATAGATGTGCCATTTGAATTCGTTGCAATTTCACAAAGGTAAAATGTCAATGGGTCAGGATTTTTCATAGTTCGATTAGATTTTTGTATGAATGCTTTTTTTATTGTTTTAAATCAAATTTAGATGTTCAAGATGTTAAAAATTGTATAGGTGATAACTGAGAAATATATGAATGGGTTATGGGTTGTGATTTTCACAAGACTTCAATATATGACTGGGGACTCACAGTTTTTTAAATCCAATATCAGAACTGTGATACTCACCCAGTCACATTTTTCCCATTAATAAAAACCTCACAATAACTAGTGAATTTACAGTTTAAAAATTAAAAAAAAACTTTTAAGTAAGATCAAATATCAAAATCGCAGTCGACAACTTCATGCCCTCTAGTAGAAATTGTGCAAGTTTGTTTGAATTTTGTGAAGCAATTTAATTTTTAAGGAGTTACAGATAAGTGTGGTGTGGACGATGACAGAAGTCATCCCAATGTGTCACTACAGCTTTGCTTTCTTACGACACAATATTATTCCTGGAAAACAAATTGTAGCATGACAGTTGTATCAGTTATAACTATTCAATCATTTAAAATATAAAAATCCATTCAGGAAAAATATGGAATCATTAATCTAATACATCATTTGTAATCTATTCTGTTTTGAAAATAGAACAAACCATTTGAGACCCTAATCAGAAAAAAATTACCTAGTTTAATTTGTATTACCTAGCCTAACTTATAATTTGAACAAAGATGTTAACCGTACTGAAAATTATAAAGAAACTGTTTCTACTCATTCAGCCATATATCTGCTACAGTCCTAAACTGCTATATTTTTCATGTTGGTCTATCACAAATAATTTTGAAAGAAGACACCCTCAGGATGTTTGTGGCCTAGTTTGTGTTTTTTGTGTAAGTCACCAGTGGGCAGGCTTCAGAGGAGAAGATTTCTGAATACAAGACACATGATAAGAAGAAATCTTGTTGGTTCTTACAATTATTATAAATAAAAGGATATATAATGTAAATGTTCAGACAACAATTCTTTTTCAAATATTTGAGATATCTGTTTTTAAACATAATCCTGTGCATTTTTAAAATAACATAAAAAAGATAGCTACCATAACATCTATAAAGTGGAACACAGAAATGACATAACTGTTTTACATGACTTGAGCATTTTCAACCAAAAATTAAATACATATCTATAGGAATCGTTCATCCAATACATAATTTTTAGCATTCAAAAGTAAAATAATGTTTTACACATGTAAATCAAATCCTTCTCTACTATTTTTATAGATTATTAATGGTTTTAAAAAGAAGAGGGAGTTTTTTTGGTACAGTCTCATTGAAGGGCAATAGCACTGAATTGAGATGTAGCCCAGAAACTTCCTTGAAGACCATAGATAGAATAGAAAATTCAGAAACTTCCTTGAAGACCATAGATAGAATAGAAAATTCAGAAACTTCCTTGAAGACCATAGATAGAATTGAAAATTCAGAAACTTCCCTGAAGACCATAGATAGAATAGAAAATTCAGAAACTTCCTTGAAGACCATAGATAGAATAGAAAATTCAGAAACTTCCCTGAATACCATAGATAGAATAGAAAATTCAGAAACTTCCTTGAAGACCATAGACAGAATAGAAAATTCAGAAACTTCCCTGAAGAACATAGATAGAAACGAAAATTCAGAAACTTCCCTGAAGACCATAGATAGAATAGAAAATTCAGAAACTTCCTTGAAGACCATAGATAGAATAGAAAATTCAGAAACTTCCCTGAAGACCATAGATAGAAAAGAAATTCAGAAACTTCCTTGAAGACCATAGATAGAATAGAAAATTCAGAAACTTCCTTGAAGACCATAGATAGAATAGAAAATTCAGAAATATTTGTGAGCATTTATTATTGCGATTGTTGAACAATTGACAAAAATGTAATTGTTATTAAGGATATTTCAGAGAAAAAGTTTATACAAATAATGCCATCAAAATCAAAGTGGGAGTTTTTATCTTTGCGAAACCTTCTATACAGTTGCGAATTTTGCAATGATATAAACATCGCAAATATTTCTGAATTTACAATATCAACAATAAATTTGTTCAAACTCTATGAATTTCTTTCAAAATTTCAAAATTATTGAGTGTATAAATAAAATCAGCCTTTTTCTCTTACAGACTCTTTTATGTCATATTGGACAATGGACCAACATGAAATAAACAACTACTGTCAAGACACCTAAAGTATGAACCATATCTAGTCTTATTTCAATTAGTTCAGTGGTTTTTGAGGAGATTATCTTTGAAAAAAGTGTTTGGATAATGGATGACAAGTATAAAGCAAAAGCTAAAACTTGCCTTATGACAGATGAGCTAAAAAACAAGTAAAAGACCTTTCACAAAGGCGCAAAGCACTATTAAAGACAATGAAAGTATTATGTCAAAAAGATATCAGCAACATGAATATTGGAAGAAAGAATGTCAAACAGATTAAAACAAACTAAAATAAGACTAAGCTAAGCATGTATAGAGTGATGGTAGTATACCCCTTCCTTTAAAAGGCACAGCACATAAATATATCGATGATAAAAATACTATTTAAGCAGCCTGCTGAACCTTAATTCAAGAAAGCTAGTCATTTGGACATGATATTTTTAGAAAAGATACAGTAATATGGACATGATATTTTAAAGGAAAGATGTTGTTGGATATTGAGAGTCTCACAATTAATACATAGCCATAATTGATTACACTGTTGAGAGGCACATTAAAAATTAAACAGTTTTGCTACACTTAAAACTTTGCTAAAATACATTGCAAACAGATATATATGTATGTTCTGGCAAAATGAGTATTTGGACTGCACATGTAGGAGTATTTAATTGATTAATTAGTTAACTATCATATTGGTTGGCAATCAAATACACTTACATAAATAAAGTAATGGTTATATTCCTTATTCTATTTGGGCATGAAATCTTAAAATAGACCCTAAAGTTCCTTTTCTGTGTCAAAACTATTATTTATGGACTCATACAAATGTATCAGAAAATTAATTTATTCAATTGAAATAATACTTTTTAATGCATGTACAATTTTGACTACAAATTCTACACAAAAAAATGATGTAAAATTTCATTTAAAAATATCTGTAATAATCTGATATGTATAACATTATTCTGTTTTGAAATAGTTTGACAGCTACTAAGGCAAGTGGATTATATAATTATAGATATGGTCACTTAGTTTCAGCTTTACACGACCCAACAACAGTCTTTTAACAATGATTGCTCTCTTTTTTCCAAATTGTTCATCGCATTGCATTGCATTATCTATAGGAAATACCTACTCATACAGGATTTTAAACCCTAATTTTTTATGTACTCTTTCAATCTTTTTATTTTACCACTTATCAAAGAAAATCCTTTTTTTTTCTTCTTTCCTTTACTTCAATATAGTATCATTTTGATTACAAACCTTGGCTCTCTAAAACATGTTTAAGATGAAAGCAAAGTTAGATAGGAAAGTTTTGTATTTCCATCTTTAATAAAGAAGTGTGGGTGTATATTGGGAACAAGACCTACTCTGGTCACTCTTATCTAATTCTTAACAATGTATTTATTAACAGTAAACACAGACATTTATATACCATTAACATCCATTACAAAATTTTCTTATTATCTGTGACACAAATAAGAACCGTAAATGAATATCAGATCTATATAATTTTACAACTAATAATGGTTACTCCTGTTCAAATCATATGAAATGTGAAGAGTATTAGCACAATATGTAAACAGCATAAAATAATCTTTATATCAAAACAGTACATCACATAAAACTCCTTGACCAGCACAGAAAATATCAATGAATAATGATATCTTATAATGTTTCAATGTTGTGTTGTTACAGGGATAAGCCTGCAAGAATATCATCTGTTCCAACACATAACTGTAATTTCACCTATGATATTGCTTATTAGACAATGTTTATCACAGCTGTTTACAAATGCCTTGTTCCCTACTGTTGGGCTATAAATAATATATATATATGATATGGTTTTACTTTCATCTGTTCATATTCTTGATCAAGTTGGCAAAACTTCATCCTCTTCTTCACAACATTTACATACTTTACATTTACAACACAATATACATGGAGCTGCTAACAGAAGAAAAGGGGAGGCAACTAGCAATAAAACACCAAACCCAGCAAATATTCCTACGACCTGAAAAAAACAAATCATTGGTATTACTTTGTAAAATAATTGGTCAAATTACACATTTTTTGAAGTTAAAATTTTTAATGTATTTTCAAATATTGAAATTCAGAATTAATTGTGACGATTTTATTATTGTGACAGGCTATGTTATACAAGAATAAAAATTAACATCCTTTATTTGTATGCTGCATTTTTTAAAAATTGCAATAATTAATCTCACATTTGTGTCCATAATAATAAATTCATGCAATAATTTCTGAATTTTAAACAGTATGGAGTTTTGATAGAAACTACAGTCAAACCTGCCTTATCGGTCACCTCGTTTCAGCAGTCTCCTGCCTTTAACGATCACTTTCAGACCCTCCCAAATGTTTTCTCTATATAATCTAACTCGTTTCAGCAGTCACCTGTCTAACGTGGTCAGCGGTCACCTAATTTTCAAACGAAATCGTCATTTCAACTTTTAACAACGGTCGTTTTATTGTTTTTAACTACCAAAAATCTTTATGACGAAAAATATATGTTTTCAAAATCTAAGTCAAAATGAAAATCCAAACATGTTTGCAACCAAGGTCGCGCAATAGAAGGTGAAGTCGTTAATTCCCCTTGTATCACTCTTTTCAGTTTCCATTGAAAACCGTACCAAAGACTTATTTTTCACGAATATTAACATATTTCTAATTTTTCTTCAAATTAACAGTGTCAGAATCTGCCATTTTTTATTTCCCTGCTCACAAGTACGAGAACTCTACTGATTAAAAACACTAAAACAATTTGCCCCAATACCCGTCACAGCGATGTCGGAATCAGAATTTTTTAGGGAGGAACCTCGTTTAAAAGGTCACCTGTCTTGAGCAGTCACTTTTGGTACTTCCCACGAGTGACTGCTTAATACAAGTTTGACTGTATGTGTGTTTTAACTCTGACACTGTTGAAGATCTTCCAACAACTTAGATGAACAAAACCAGTTGTTCTAACTCAAGTCATTTTGAAATGTTGTCTTGTTCATCTTCAGTTATATTTACACTATGTTTATTTCTTCTTCATGAGGTATTTGCTAAGCACGAATAATTTTGGAGTAGGATAAAACACTGTTCGTCTTTGAGCCAGAACAATGTGGGTGGTATGTCTTCCTTCAGACTGTTACTTGTAAACTGGCATGTGAAAAATCCTGGGAGTGGGTCTAGTTCAAAGCAGGGATTATATTCATTCTTCATTGACATGTTCTAATCCTGACAATGCATGTAATATTTGCCACTGGCATTAAACATCCATCCATTATTCTTTTCTCACTGAAGTTAAAAGGTGCAAAAACTGAAGTACAATTAAAAATTTATATTCCACACTTGACTTGAAATTTTAAAGATTTTTGAAGATTAAAGAATGTATGGCTATAATTTATTAAAAACCTTATATAAAACTGATATCAAATGCTTCCAACATTAAAATTTTAATAACAGGGAGCTATAGGATATCTCGAACTGAGAAATGAGTAATGGGACATTTACTTTATTAACCTTTTCCTACTAACATAATCCAATACAAACCTGAGTTCTGTGCCATATAACTGATGCTCTGGTATGACCAAGTTTGTTCTTACATGGTCCTTTGTCATAATGTCGTAATAAAAAATCATCCTGAAATAATTGTAACATCCATTCATTGAATTCTTCACATAATATGTTGCTATAGGTTTTAAAAATGGAGAATATGCATGCTTGGCATTCAAAGTCTATGGACAGTTTTATGTATTTTATATGTAAAGTGCAGTCTGGTGTATCTGCACACCTAAGACTTTTGGCTTCATTTTGGTAAACTCACAAAACCAATAATCAGATAATAAATTGTGAACAAATTCATGACATACTTTAATTTCATGAAATCTTCTTAATGAATGATTTCACCCTAATGTGTGTCCAAAATTAGGGAAACCCATGTTTTGACAGGTCTTCAAATGTTCAGTGTTTTCCCGCATGCATTCTAAAAATAGTTAATTCTAAATAAAGGAAGGATTTTATACTACGAAATACAATTCAGTTTGAACTAAATGGACTGCCAAGGATGTGGATCAAAAGTTTGTTTCAGTTTGATAAAATTTGCTGTAAAATGAAACCAATTTTTTCTAATGATGTCATAATTTTTTGTGGAAAATGGTTGAATATGGTTAATCATGGGATTGCAATTAGAAATTTATGCTTGAACTTATCAATCTTAATTTTTTCTGTCCCTTCGGAAGACTAAAACAATTACAAGAACAATTATTTTTATGTAACATTGCAGATATGAAAAAATCAGACACGCGGACATAGAGGATTCCACTGTATATAATTAGACTGAATGAACTATCCTCCAAAAATGGCATTTCTTTCCTATTTCCAATTCCCAAAATCAAATTTTTGGTTCAAACTGCCCTTAAATTCGATAAGCAGATAAGAATAAAATGCTTCGCAGTGTGCAGCCTGATACGACCGCAGAGGTCGAACCCTGAACAGTTGGGGCAAGTTTGGACACAATATTCAAGCTTGATACTGTCTGAATTTGGATTGTGATCAAACTTTTTACATCATATAGGTTTCTGACACAAAATAAATGTGGTCAAAGATTTGAAATGGGACATTTAATTTACCTAGAATGGTCTGATATCCAAAATCTAACAACATGGTTAGATTCAGCATATAAATAAATGGGGAAAGTGTCCATGGGACACAGATGATGCCCCCGCTTGCATATAACGTTATAAAGGGCCATAACTCAAGAACTGTAAAAGTGACACTACCCAAATTTGAACTTGATCTGAGTTTTGTGGTAATAAGCATTGTTTAAAAGTTTCATAACCTTTAGTTGACGTAAACTTAAATTAGAGAACAGAAACAAATATTTCAGCAATTTTTCCATTTGTAAAGGGGCATAACTTTAGAACAGTGAAAGTGACACAACCAAAATGCAAACTTGATCTGTGTTTTGTGGCAATAAACATTGTGTATAAGTTTCATAACATTTGGTTGAGGCAAACTCAAGTTAGAGAATGGAAACAAAAAAATCAGCAATTTTTCCATTTGTAAAGGGCATAACTCTTGAATGGTAAAAGTGATGCCACCATAACTCAAACTCGATCTGTGTTTTGTGGTAATAAGCATTGTGGATAAGTTTCATAACATTTGGTTGAGGAAAACTAAAGTTAGAGAACGGAAACCAATTTTGGGATGTACGGACGTACAGACGGACAAGGGTAAAACTTAATGCTCCCTCCGCTACGGCGGGGGCATAAAAAACACCAATTATTTAATTTTAGTTGAAATCAATGGTTTCATTTTGGACCCTTCAAATCTAATATGAACTAATTTGAAAACAGGGCCCAAAATAACAAGAGTGCACACGCTGAAATGTCTCGCCTTCTTTACTAATCATAGATATTATGTTGATAGTCCTAAATATAAAGCTTTATTACAACTGTCACATAAACTTAACATTAACCAAGTAAACTAAACATTGACCAATGAACCATGAAAATGAGGTCAAGGTCAGATGAACCATGCTAGGCAGGCATGTACAGCTAACAATTCTTCCATACAACAAATATAGTTGACCTATTGCTTATAGTTTAAGAAAAACAGACGAAAACACAAAAACTTAACACTGAGCAATGAACCTTGAAAATGAGGTCAAGGTCAAATAAAACCTGCGTGACTGACATATAGATCATAAAATATTTCCATACACCAAATATAGTTGAATTATTGCATATAGTATTAGAAAAAAAGACCAAAACTCAAAAACTTAACTTTGACCACTGAACCATGAAAATGAGGTCAAGGTAAGATGACACCTGCCAGCTAGACATGTACACCTTACAATCATTCCATACACCAAATATAGCTGACCTATTGCATGCAGTATTAGAAAGAAAGAACAAAACTCAAAAACTTAACTTTGACCACTGAACCATGAAAATGAGGTCAAGGTCAGATGACACCTGCCAGCTAGACATGTACACCTTACAATCATTCCATACACCAAATATAGTAGACCTATTGCATACAGTATAAGAAAAACAGACCAAAACACAAAAACTTAACTATAACCACTGAACCATGAAAATGAGGTCAAGGTCAGATGACACCTGCCAGTTGGACATGTACACCTTACAGTCCTTCCATACACCAAATATACTAGACCTATTGCTTATAGTATCTGAGATATGGACTTGACCACCAAAACTTAACCTTGTTCACTGATCCATGAAATGAGGTCGAGGTCAAGTGAAAACTGTCTGACGGGCATGAGGACCTTGCAAGGTACGCACATACCAAATATAGTTATCCTATTACTTATAATAAGAGAGAATTTAACATTACAAAAAATCTGAACTTTTTTTTCAAGTAGTCACTGAACCATGAAAATGAGGTCAAGGACATTGGACATGTGACTGACGGAAACTTCGTAACATGAGGCATCAATATACAAAGTATGAAGCATCCAGGTCTTCCATCTTCTAAAATATAAAGCTTTTAAGAAGTTAGCTAACGCCGCCGCCGCCGCCGGATCACTATCCCTATGTCGAGCTTTCTGCGACAAAAGTCGCAGGCTCGACAAAAATGGGGCCCAATATCCAAAAAAATTATACAAGGTTAGAACCCCCAAAAATTAAAGACTGAATTATTCCCATTGAAATTGGTTAAAACATTTGTATTATTTTTCAATTGAAGATTTCTTTCTATTGCGCAATACTGCAATTGAAGATTTCTTGCTATTGTGCAATACTGTGCTATTGCCCAATACTGTGCAATTGAAGGTTTCTTGCTATTGCGCAATACTGTGCTATTGTGCAATACTGTGCTATTGTGCAATACTGTGCTATTGTGCAATAGAAGATTTCTTGCTATTGCGCAATACTGTGATATTGCACAATACTGTGCTATTGCGCAACTGAAGATTTCTTACTATTGCGCAATACTGTGCTATTGTGCAATTGAAGATTTCTTGCTATTGCACAATACTGTGCTATTGTGCAATACTGTGCTATTGCGTAATACTGAGCAATTGAAGATTTCTTGCTTTTGCCCAATACTGTGCTTTTGTACAATACTGTGCAATTGAAGATTTCTTGCTATTGTGCAATACTGTGCTATTGTGCAATACTGTGCAATTGAAGATTTCTTGCTATTGCGCAATACTGTGATATTGCACAATACTGTGCTATTGCGCAATACTGTGCAACTGAAGATTTCTTGCTATTGCGCAATACTGTGCTATTGTGCAATACTGTGCTATTGCGCAATACTGTGCAATTGAATATTTCTTGCTATTGCGCAATACTGTGCAATTGAAGATTTCAAAAATTTTGAAGAAAAAAAATGAACCCCCCCTAAAAAATTGGAAAAAAAAATCCCAACTTTTTGAACCTCCACCCCCCTTTTGGAGTAATTACCCCAACTCAATCCCAGCCTTCCCTTTGTGATATGGAACCTTTTAATACAATTTCAGAGAGATCCATACACTTAAGCACAAATAATTGTCCGGAAACTACAAAAATGCTTGTTTTTGGCCCCTAATTCCTAAACTGTTGGTACCATCACCCCCAAAATCAATCCCAACCTTCCTTTTGTAGTATTGAACCTTCTGGTAAAAATTCATAGAGATCCATTCACCGAAACTAAAGTTATTGTCCGGAAACCAAATATGTCTTCGGACGACGCAGACATCATAGCATTAGACGACGCAAAAAATTTCTTGCTGTCGTATAAAAATTTGTCTTCAGTTGGTAGAGCATGCCTAAATTTTAAAATTACAATTACCGTAACCACCTAACCCCTGAAATATTGGAACACCATTTAAGCTCCACAAAAAATAATTTAGGACAGACTGTATAGTAAGTGAATGTACAATGTAAGTGACTGAATAATATCTCAGAAAAGGAAAGAAAAAAACTTATTTTGTAAGTACTGTAGTTCCAAGTAACCCCAAAATCTCCTTTTCATCTCAATTTTTTTGTATTTACACCATGGAATGGATAAGGTCCATATATGATCTGTCAAAGTTTTGTCTGTAGCAATTGACTGCCTATGGGTAAACTACAAATCTTATTCTTGAAGATATGATATGTCTAAGACATGAATTGATTGTCTATGGGTAAACTATCTGATGTACAGATTAACTTTTTAAGTATAACTTACGTCTAAAGATGTCAGACAATACCAACAAAATACATGTTTACATCGTTTACACATCATCTGTGCACAGCCATCATTTCTTTCAATTGGCACATGACACACAGGACATCTTTTAATGCTAGCATCTTCTGTGTTGGTGTATGGAATACTATTATAGAAAAAAATATAATATCAGGTTTAAATAATAAGTGAAATGATAGTTTTACAATGTAAAATATGAATACAACATACGGCTGGTTAGAATGCAAACCCTTCAGCTTGCTATTTAAAATAGGCAATAAGTTCCACCAAATATTAAGAAATTTTCATTCTACATTGTCTTGTAATATTGTAACAATATACTTCTCAAATAAAAATATTTTTAACTTGGAAACTCAGTAACTTTTTGTTTGCTTGCATACACTGTAGGGAAAAATGTTGTGTGATGAGAGTTCTAGCATGATTTCATGTCATGAATCTTGTTAATAGTTTCTTCTTTCATGTTAAATGGCAGAAATCTCCTCACTGACAATTTTAAGTCAGCATTTTGCAAGTATAATAAAGCATAATTACATCATGTAATTCTTTTATGTTTAAATTTTTAGATTTACTTTCCTAAGAGATAATGTTGTGAAGAGTGCTTTTGTTGTTAATTTAATGATTGTTTGAGATTGATTGTCTAAAATTGTACCATATCATATTAAACGTAGTTATTCAAATATAAAAATAGTTTTACAATTTTGACTAATGCAGGCATATTTACATTTAATTGACATAAAATAAGATTGTTTGCAGATGGTAAATCATAAATCTGCTTGTTTCAAAACATTAAGCTTGTTGTTTCAGGAAAAGATTTTTGAAAATGATCCAATAAGAATCAAAGATTGATTTTGGCAGTCATTTTTTAAGCTAGTTGGAACAAAATGAGGAATTTTCCTTTGGATTGTTCAAAATATTAACAGCATATTATCCCCGGCTTAGAAAACCTAAAGCCCCAGGTGTTGCTAACCCATACACACTGGCTGTGCCACCCATTATCCCGGGAACTTCACATGCATTTCTACGCTATTTTTCCTTAGTTCTGTGGTTGTTTCCATTGAGAAAATTGAATTCTGTAGATTATCCATGATATCTGCAATTAAATATGTAATCCACTAACAATTTTATCCTATTATGCCGATCACTGGCATTCAGTTTAGTAAATGCATTACTTGGCTATCAACTCCTGAATGAATGGGATATGCAAATGACCCATGTTTACGTCACACCATCTATGACGTAACACTCACACCATTGAGCACCAAATTTGACTTACAATAGTTTTTCTGTCCCTGGATTAAAAACATATTATATTTGACTACTTGACTACTTGTAGGGTTCTACACACACCCCGTAAAAAATATGTAAAATTTCCAAATTTCAATAAAACTTTTTCCAATAATAAAACATTGCTTTCACATTACACTTTGTGCCCGAAATCCGCTAAAAATAGACCGATTCGGACTAAGACCAGGGATAAAATCCTTATCTACGTTCACATCCATAGATATGGGTGTTAAAATACCCATATCTACCGATATGAACATAGATAACTTATATTAATCCTGCCAAGTTTGGCCTGCTGATTTCGGAGGAGATTATGAAAATGTAAATTGTCTAATGACAGACAGATAATGACTGCAAAGTGTAGACAATGGCTCACATGGCTCCATGGGTTAGATGAGCTAGAAAGCTGTTGCTTATGAGTTTGAGCTATTGTTTCATGAACTATAAACACATTAAGAGACTGTGTATAAAGGTGTAATGTCAGACAGGTTAATACAATTACCCGAAGTCTTCATGTTTCCCATGTAACATAACTTCATCACAAGTTTGTGCTCCATGCCACTTCGATTTACATATAGAACAAAATTGTAAACCACACTGAAAAATATTCAATAAATTTGAATAATTATTTACAGATGCAATTTTTTTAAGATACAATATTACTAGTAAATATTTCTGAAAACAATATCAGCAACATTATGTGTCATAACCAGATTTTCAATATATTCTATCAGATTAAATAAAGTGCATAACAAGTACGATGACATCTCAAATTCAAATCCACAAAATTTCTTCTAATGCTATAGACAAGTTTATTCTGAAATGTACACCATGTACTGTTCCAATAAAAATAATAAACATCTATGTATAAAGAATACAAATTTTCTCCTCTATTCCAATATATAGACACACTTATATCTAACATTATTATATTTATTCTATATTACTTACAGAAGGACATTCCACTGGAGTAGGTCTACTACTAGTTTCTCCTGTTGAAGTACTGCACACATGACAAATTGTCTCACAACCATTTTCTGGACAGAATGTTCTGTTTGGATCTAAATCTATCTCTGAAAAAAGTTCTCTAGTGAACGAGCAAATTTCAGCTGAACATACAGATACATGTGTCTTTTTTAATGCCTTATTAAATTGTAAGCAAGTTTCCATCATGTCACTGAAGTTTATGAGATATAAGACCAAACATTTGAATTTTTACTCTAACTTATATGTAATAGTACATTTTTTATTGAATCCAGTGGCAAAAGTCCAAACTAAATTAGGTGACATTAACCTTTATATTAAACATAAATGGCTTGGGTTAAGTTTTAAGGATCATTTCAAAGCCACTAAAAATCCCCGAGAAATGATCTTCTACCATGTAATGCATCATGTTAAGTTATGAAAGTCAACACTAAAAAGATGGTAACATAGACCTTTTTTTTTTGCATAAATAACTTTTGTTCAGTTTTGCCGCATAGTCCTGAACTATGGTAAACAATTACAAATCATATAATTATTATGTTTGTTAATGAATTATGATAGTGACAGAGGTCCGCTCAAAAGATAGGTGACTTGACCATGATAACTGATTTAAATTTTTAAACATATAAATAATGAATGAGCAGATTAGCATTTTCTTTTCTTTAAACATAACAGGGACACTTGTAGGAATGCTGTAAATTAAGTTATTTGCTAAACAGCAAAAAAATCTTGAGAGTGTCAAAACAAATTGTTAAAATTATTCACATTCAGGAAATAAATAGACAATGGGCAGTATCCTTTTCCATGATATTTGACAAAATTATGTAAACTGGAAGATATTTAGTAATATCAGAAGTCCATTACTAGACGAAGTGTGCAACCCGCTATATAGTAAGGCGATCACGTTGTCCCCGTACTTCCAACTGTGATTGAAACGGGATTTGAGCGAGATTGCTATTAATAGTAACAAAAATCAATGGCCAAATTTTTTGTGTGCATTCTGGGTAGAGATAATTTATGCAAACCACCCTATAACTTAATTAGCACACAGTTGAAAATAATGTTTGACCATCGACATGTTAATGAATAACAGATCCTATAGATGCCATAATATATCAGTGTCATGAGTCATTATGATGGTTTCAATATTAAAAGATAAAAATGTTTGTATAATTTATCAATTTAAAAAGTACAATTATAACCCTGGGACTATTATAAAAGTTCCAGTATAACCGTAGAAAAATTGTCAAACGAAATAAAAAAATAAGTTCACTTATTAGTACAATAAACGTTTAGTTTTATAGTTAAAAAATTGCCATTAAAAAGTTGGCAAGGAAAAATGAGGTAGGAAAATTGTGTATCCATATTCAGTACAAGTAACACTGGAGTATTAGTAGACCGAATTCTTCTGTCCCTTTAATGCATATTTCTTAATTTCCATTTGGTTTTTGTTGATTTTGGTATTTACTATTTTTTTTTTTTTTTTTTTGCAATATAGAGACAGAAAGCAGTGTCCATTCAAAACAGGAGATACGCATACAATTTGTTTGCGCTCGATTTTCGCTGATTTTATACATTTTTCAGCCATCTGTACCTAACATATACACTAACAGATAAATGCATTATGGTTTTTCTATATTTTCATGTGCCTTACAATGATCAACGACCTTTCTCAGTCCAGATAATCCACTTTTTTTTTTAGCATTAATTACATTCTTCTTTCATTCTCGGCAAGCTAAAAAAAATGGATTTTCTAAATGTATAAATGTAGAAGCTTATACATCATCGCATATAGCTTCCTTGATGCCGAAAATAACCGAGACATAATTCGTTAACACAACATTCCATTTAAAAAAGAGTCAATTATGAATATATTTTGGCAAAAACAACTATATCTTTTAAATAAACGATACATTTTTAATCCGACATGGCAGATTTTAAAATTCTCATTTTGCTTTGAGCGATGAAAAATGGTACCAATGAATTCATTTATAAAATTTTATATAATTTTGTAAATGTTGAATTAAAATGAAGATTCAGATTCTTTATTTCTTATAAAACCAAGTTAATGGTACAAAGAAAGACATTTTTACATATAATTACATACAGATTCTGCGCATGACAAGTTTGTACAAAACGAGCATAAAAAGAAAAGAGATCGATGATCAACCTGGAGAACATACTTCTGTATTATTCTGATTAATTTACACAAATTTTTCAATACCCAAATATTTTTTGAAACAAATAAACTGCCGAATTTCAAAACATTTACTAGGCTTACATAGTAAGGTTTAAGAGAAGCTCTTCTACTTTCTGTTAGAGCTGTACAGTTTAGAATATAGTGAAATTCATCACCTATCTCTCGAGAATTACAAAGTACACAGTACCTTTCCTGTCTAACAATTTGTGAAATCTAGATCTTCGCCTGTTCTGGCATTAAAATCGCCAAGAAGGCATACATAACTGTGATCTGAACTAAACATAAGAAGTTCATGTTCAATTTCGTTAAAATGAAGAAGTTTACTAACTGGCAATTTGAAACAACCGCACTAAGTCGGCTCACTTTATTTACAACATACTGATAATTAATCTAACGCTCAAGGAGACTAATTAACAGCTATCTGTTCGATGATAATATTTTAACCCGTGATTCCATAGTTATAAAACGAGATTTGAGGGGACCACCAATGGCGCTTTCCAATGATAAAGGGGACATCGTGATCGCCTTACTATATAGCACAGGTTGCACACTTCGTCTAGTAATGGACTTCTGGTAATATACAGTATAATAAAACTGAGCAAAAGTTATCTCCCATGGACAAATCACATATTCTTTGATTCGTGAATAAGTATACAATTCTGGTTTATTTGTAAAATATATCATTAAAAATATGATTATGTTTTATGCCACTGTATTTTCTGGTAAATAATAATAAACTAAGGGTGAATCTGAAACTAATAAAACAAGAAAAATATGTAAGATGGCTGACCTGTATATGCTCAGTTTAACAGTATAGATCTACCTTCAGTAACTGAGATTTAATTTATAAAATGATGAATCTAGACTTCTCTACAATGTGAATTTCATAGAGTTAATTTGAAACTGTGTCTTTTTTGCATAACATTGAAACCTATAGATCATCTTACCTTTTTGGTATTTTAATCTTTTATATCTTTCAAACATTTTTGGTTCAACTAAACTTTCAATCTGAAATAGATATAAATTTATCAATATAGATGTTTCCTGTTATTTATTCGTTTTTATGTGATTTAGATACAAGAGGCTCTCAAGAGCCTGAATCGCTCACCTGTAATTTTTTGCTTAAATCTTTCATCAATGATTATTTTTGCTTTTCAATATATATTAATGAGTGGCTTACAAATGCCATTTAAATGTTCTTTGTATCTGTCATATTTTCTTCAAAAGCAAAAAAATGCATTTTACCCCTATGTTCCATTTTAGCCATAGTGGCTATGTTTCTTGACGTACATGGAAATAAAATACAAAATTTATACAAGATACTCTGAAACTCATTCAGCCCAAGTTTGGTTGAAATTGATTCAGCAGTTTCAAAGGAGAAGATTTTTTAAAGTAAGCAAACTAGATTAGATGAACAAATTGTGAAAAATTGTCTTTAAAGGACAATAACTCCTTAAGGGGTCAATTGACAATTTTGGTCATATAAAATTATTTTTAGATCTTACTTTGCTGAACATTATCTATAATAATATTCAAGATAATAACCGAAAACTGCAAAATTTCCTTAAAATTACCAATTTAGTGGCAGCCACCCAACAATGGGTTGTTAGATTCATCTGAAAATTTCAGGGCTAATAGAACTAACCCCGTCAGATTTGCTCTAAATGCTTTAGTTTTTGAGATATAAGCCAAAAACTGCATTTTACCCCTATGTTCTATTTTTAGCCATGGTGGCCATGTTTTTTGACAAAACAGAAAATAAAACACAAACTTTATTTTAGATACCCTAAGGATCATTCAGCTTAAGTTTGGTTGGAATTGATTCAGTAGTTTCAGAGGAGATGTTTGAAATTGTTTACACCGGACGGACGACGACGGACGCCAAGTGATGGCAAAAGCTCACCGTTCCGAAGGAACGGTGAGCTAAAACGAGAGAAATTCTGAGGATGAAAGAGAGTCATCTGGATTTGAGACATTTTAAACTTCGATTACGATGATAATGCATGAAATGTGATAAAATTACTTTTATAGATACTTACAGACTTACTTCTATTAAGGGCTTGATGCACATAAGGCCAAAACTTTTACAGATGCTCATGCAATGAATTTGAAAGAGTTCACAATGAATAATATGGATGTTTTAAATAAAATGGAAGTTGGGTCATAAAAGACAACAGTTTATTCTAGAGCCCACATTTTCAAAATTGCAATATTTTTTTCTCTGAACAGTTCTTTTTTTTTAGAGGTTGATACAATCAGTTTAATGGAATACTAACAAATTACCATAAAAAGGTCATGTCAGAGCCTGTTATTGCTGACTAGATGTATGGGTTTTGCACATTGTTGAAGACGGTGACCTATAATTGCTTAAATCAACATTTTATTTGGACTCTATTGGATACTTGTCTCATTGCCAATCATACCACATCTCCTTATTTTGTATTTGTATAATTGTTATGAACATTTAAGGTCACGCTTTTCTCAGACTGTGTATGACATCTGTACACTAATTCTGTTTTTATTTGCACTGATTGATATTCTAGTCTTTGAAAACATTAAGTTAAATTAATATTTGCTATCAAAAAGTTTTATTTGCCAATAAGATTACTATAAATGAATCCAAAGAACTATATTTTAATTTATTGTATTCCTTTACATCAAAACATATAATCAGCTGTATATCTGCAGGGAGTGAATATAAAAAAATGTTGACAGTGCATTTTTTTTAAAATGGTGTAATTCAAAGGGCTGCAATTGTTTCAAAAGTATGTAAGTATAATTAAGCATAATTAATTTTGAAATCCCTAACTATGTTGGATTTTCCAGCATGTTTACCTCTAATGGCTGAATTTGTCCCGACTTCTTACACATAGCATCTGGACATGTTATATATAAGACATTTCCATCTGTTATTAAAACACTAAGATACATCCTCACACACTGAAAAATTAGAATACATATTTTAACACATTTTTAAATAAATTAGGTATATCGAAAAAATGTGTGATGAAATTTTTTTTAGCTCATTCAAAATATTGGAAAATTCAAAGTATTGTTTAACAGAGTGTAGGTATCTGAAATGTCCGAAAAAGTGCCTAAACATTACAACTAATTACTGTCAAGCTGCTGACCAAACATGAAGACATTGTGTTCAGTTGTTTCTAAGAAAACTGTGATGAAAATATTTGTTGGACGAAAGGACAGAAGGACAAACGGATGGATGGACTGATGAATGGACTGACAGACAAGGTAATTGCAATAAAGCTCCCCCTCCTAGTTAAATCATGTTATAACCAGTTATTCTTATCATGACATCTTTCAATGAATTCTGATTGCATGGGTCAAAATTTGACAGAACAGATGTAAATCAAAATGAAACAATATAAACTCAGTGTTCTTACTAAGGCGATTGTATGAGTCTGCACTCATGAAAATTTCTGGACTTATCATTTTTAAAATTGAGTCCGGAGATGCATCAAGATTGTAAAATATAGTATCAACTGAGCACAAATATGACCATTTTATGACAAAAGTTTCAAATAATCAAAACTTCATGTCATTTCCTGTATCTATTTTGTCATGGCGACTTAAGGATAATGTTGTACCCTTTTGTCGTTTCAATGCTAAAAATGGTAATTTTATAAAAACTCCACAGCCTTTGTCCCTTGTATTTTAATATTTGACTATTGGATACTCAATAGATACGGTATTACTGCATGCAGTGCTAGCAATGATTTCCCTAAAACAAGTATATAAATATATTGGTTAAAATAAGTATTTATATGGACTTATTCAAGTACACCTTCTAGGGTGCGCTCGACTTTAGTCACTCAGCAGGTGGTTTTTTGGATTGTAAAGGTTGTTTAGGGCTTTTTGTTAACAATAAACACTAGCGCATCATGGACAAACAAGTAAGTAATCTATGTTTAAAATTTTATAACGAAAATCTCTGTAATGAAATATTGCTTTGAACGACGTTTCCCTTTGGTATATGTACAAAATTGCACGTCATTTTTTTTCTGTTTACTTGCTGTTTTGATATTGTAGCTCTTTGAAAATTTCGTAGAACACCGGCATACAGAAGGGGTCATAAACCTTAAATAAGAAATAATATAGCAATAAAATTTCATCTTCTCAATGTTGGACTTACCAAAACCAAATCGTGGACTCGCCTTCAAAATTCCTTAGTGAGAACCCTGTTTAAACAAGGAACAACTATTTTTCTCAGTTGCTGGTTTGAAACAAAACAGAGTGAAAAATATTTGAATTATGAACTAGAAATATTACAGTTTCAAATAAGGGAGCTACCATTTGATTTTTATGGGGGGCTAGGATGAAATTTAAAAAAAGACAGGACAGGAGTTTTGAGTTAAAAAAAAAGGCAGGATGAGCAACTTGGCAAAAAAAAAGACAGGATGACAATTTATGTAAAAAAAGTCAGGATAAACTATTAAAAAAAAAAAGGCAGGACCGAATAGAGTGAAAAATAAAAAGGCAGGACAGATTACAACTAAAAAAGAATGCAGGACAAAATTTTTCATCCTAGCTCCCCCCCCCCCCCCCCCCCCAATAAAAATCAAATGGTAGCTCCCTAACCTAATAATGTTTCTTGAAATTTCAGTTATGCTAGAATCTTAGAAAGGATGTATATTATAACTCTGATGTATATACAATAGACTTACCTTTTCACAGTATAGACATTTACAATCTCTGAGTTCATACATGTCTTGCAGACTACATTCTAAGAGACAAAGACGACATGTAATCAAAGGATCTATAGCTAGATCAACTGAGTTCCGACTTGCAGAATAAGCTGCCATATCATGGAATTATGTCTGTAAGATATATACATAAGGGATATAAAAGATGAGGAGTATGCATCAATAAGACAGCAACCCAATGACAAAAACCAAATCTAAAGGCAAGTGTCTATACAATATGTCTAACTCTAAATCATCCCAAGTCTAATTAAAGTTGTGAATAAATTAACAGAGCTCCTCCAGACAGTGACTTGAATACGAAAAATATGACATTTACACCAAATTCCAAATGGTGAAAAACAGTACATTAATATTTGCAACCAAAATAAAAATGAATAGTAAACTAAGTATTAGATGTGTTGTACAAACTCCTGAAAATTATTCCAATTTTGCGATTTATCATGTAAGTGAAGTTCATGTATATCAATCATTGGCTTAATATAATGGTTGGGTTGGATGTGTTTAGGGATAGAACTACTGTTATGAGAGTTGGATTGACAAGGTGCCTTTCAGTTCCTTGTGAGACAACACTTGAAAACAAAACAAGGACCTACATAAGATATACAAATTGGCCTGATCAATTTGAACTTTAGTTATCCTAGTTGATTTCATTTTTGAGTTTATTAAGAGGATGAAGTCTGCATTATATCATAGTAGAAAATCAATATATACTACCAGTAGGGTAATCCCAGGTCCTGTAGTTCAATGGTTATTGTTCGTTGCTGTTTGCCATATATGTATTTTGTGTATTGCTTCTGTCTAAATAAGGCTGTTGGTTTTCTCATTTATATTGTTTCATATTTGGTCATGCAGAGGCTGTTTATAGCTTACTATAGTATTGGGTTCTGCTTATTTTGGAAAGCTATAAAGTGACCTATAGTTACTTACATCCTTAGGACTCTGGTTGATATTTGTTTCAATGGAAATCATACCATGTCTCATTATTTTCAAAAGTGAATTTAAAATCTTTATATTAAAGTTTACTTTCTTTTTGCACTAATCCTTTCTGGTTTTTTTTTTTATTTTTATGAAGGAGCATACTATACTTATGGGTTTTGCTCATTGTAAAAAGCTGTACTGTGACCTTAAGTTGTTACTTGCCTCTGGGATTTAGTGGACAGTTGTCTCTTTGGCAATCATACCATATCTCCTTATTTTTTATATACATTACAATTTCCAAAAAACTTGTATCTGATTACACAATATCTATGTGCAGAAAAGTATAATGGCATCCTTTAAGACAAAAAAAAATATTTCAGTTTCCTTGGCAACTTTAAGGGTTCTCTTTCAAGAAATCTGATTTTAAAATTGATATTGAAAAGCCTATAATGTACTTCGCACCTCCAGTCTATGCAGATTTCTCTGGATTGTTGGTGTCTAAGCTTGGAGCTATAAATCACACAAGCTGTTGAAATATTTAAAAAAAATTCTATGTTTACATTATGAAACTAGGTTTATGTGTTTTTGTGGACAAAAACATATGTCTGCCAGTAATTCAAATGCATAGAAGTCACTCCAGTAAAGGAAAAGCATAACAAACATATTCTAGAGTTGGAAAGGTATTGTCATGGGAAATAAAAATATATATGTAGGACTCAAATCTATGGTGGGTTCCAGATCTATGGCAGATTTCAAATCTATGGCAAATATGACGTCACAAACACCATACAAATCATAAATTTATGGCAGTTTTTTGTTTTTTTCCAAATCTATGGCATATTATGAAGTCTTCGCAGCTTACCATGGCAGAACACATAGATTCGAATACCATTTTAGATGACTGTTTCGTTACATCAAAGGAAAAGAAAAGTCCAGTTTCCAAGGATTCACTCACGGTTTTTATAATAATTAGCATTGTTCATGCTTTGGATTTTGATATTTTGGGTTTTCGCTCTTTGATTTCTTGTAGTCGTCTGTGTTTATGGTATTACCTTGTCCTTTTGATTGTACAAGTTTTTACTGTGGCTTTGGTATGCTTTTTGCTTTTCTTTCATAATTTTTTGTTATGCTATGCTGTTTTCTTGTTATTCTTTTTTTGTCCCTATGGTACTCTTTAAATTATTTTTACATAATCTACAGCATTTATCAGCTATATTACAGCAACTACCTCTTCTATTATAGTAAATAATCTTTCTTAAGATTTAGAACCAAAAATAAATGGAGAATGTGTCTATGGGCCACAGATGCCCCCACTTGTAAATATGCATGAGTCAATGTACTTCTTATTGACATAGTTTCATAACATTTGGTTGAGGCAAGCTAAAGTTAGAAAGCGGAAACGAAAAATTCAGCAATTTTCATGAACAGTAAAAGTGACGCCACCCAATTTCCAAGTTGATCTGTGTTTTGTGGTAATAAGCATTGTGTATAAGTTTTATAACATTTGGTTGATGCAAACTAAAGTTAGAGAACGAAAACAAAAAAAAAGTGAGTCCATTTATCAGTAAAATACAGGATTAAAAAAAAAATTTAAACTTTATCTTTAGATGCTTTTTCTTGGTCTTGAAGCTTCTGTCCATGTTTCATAACAATCCATGAAGGTTTACAAACTTATGTCAAAATAATGGATCCTAGACTGTATATAAATGTTAACCGTAAAAAACTAAGTCCATCTATCAGAAAAATACAGAAAATAAAAATGTATTTTCAAAAGTTTGCTTTTGACATTATCTCTTAATCACAAAAAATTTTCTGCCAATGTTTCATAAAATTCTATGAAGGTTTCACAAAGCATTTGATGTGTAACAAACTTTAACCCCAGACTGTATCCACTTGTTAACTGTAAAATAAACTATAAATCCATTGTCATTGAACTAGTACACATTTTTGTTTAGGGGCCAGCTGAAGCCCGCCTCCTGGTGTGGGATTTTCTCGACCCATTGGTTGCCTTCGGCTGTTTTCTGCTCTTTGGTCGGGTTGTTGTCTCTTTGACACATTCCCCATTTCCATTCTCAATTTTATTTTATGTCCATTCATCAGTAAAATAGGGAAAAATAAAAACAAATATTTTCAAAATTTTGCTCTGGATATTGTATTTTGGTCATAAACAAACTTCTGTCCAAATTTCATAAAATTCCATGAAGGTTTGACAATTTATTGATGACCGAAAAACCTTAACTTCAGACTGAATCTGAATGTTAACAGTAAAAAATAAAATGCTTCGCTGGGCGCAGCTTGATACGACCGCAGAGGTCGAACCCTGAACAGTTGGGGCAAGTATGGACACAACATTCAAGCTTGATACAGCTCTGAATTTGGATTGTGATTAAATATTTGACACAGCATAGGTTTCTGACACAGAAAGAATGTGGTCTAAGAACTTCAATTTTTTTAATTTACCTATTATGGTCCAATGTCCAAAATCAAAATACATGGTTAGATTCAGCATATCAAAGAACCCCATATATTCAATTTTTGTTGAAATCAAACAAAGTTTAATTTTGGACCCCGATTTGGACCAACTTGAAAACTGGGCCCATAATCAAAAATCTAAATACATGTTTAGATTCAGCATATCAAAGTACCCTAAAAATTCAATTTTTGTTAAAATCAAACTAAGTTTAATTTTGGACCCTTTGGACCTTAATGTAGACCAATTTGAAAACGGAACCAAAAATTGAGAATCTAAATACACGGTTAGATTCGGCATATCAAAGAACCCCAATAATTCAATTTTTGATGAAATCAAACAAAGTTAAATTTTGGACCCTTTGGACCTCAATGTGGACCAATTTAAAAACGGGGCCCAAAATCCAAAAACTTAATACACGGTTAGATTCAGCATATTAAAGAACCCCAAGAATTCAAGAATAAAACCCCATTGAAATTGATCAAGAAATAAGCAATTTATACGAAGTATCTTCTTTTGCACAATACTGTGCAATTGAATATTTCTTGCTATTGTGCAATACTGTACAATTGACAATTTCTTGCTATTGCGCAATATTGTGCTATTGGATATTTCTTGCTATTGCGCAATACTGTGCAATTGAAGATTTCTTGCTATTGCGCAATACTGTGCAATTGAAGATTTCTTGCAATTGTGCAATACTGTGCAATTGAAAATTTCTTGCTATTGCACAATACTTATTATATAATAATTTACACATCCTGTTTGGTGTGTATCTCCTACCATATCATTATTATTTGCTTTTAAATATTAATCAGAAATAACCAACTTAAAATGGAAAATTTTAAAAGAAAAAAAAAAGGAAAAAAAGAAAAAAAAAGAAAAAAAAAAATCCCCCCCCCCCAAATTTTTTGAACCCCCTTATGATTCATCACCCCCAAACTCAATCCCAGCCTTCCCTTTGTGGTATGGTACCTTGCAGTACAATTTCAGAGAGATCCATACACTTGAACACAAGTTATTGTCTGGAAACTAGAAAAATGCTTATTTTTGGCCCCTTTTTGGCCCCCAATTCCTAAACGTTTCGGGCAATTACCCTCAAACTCAATTCCAGCTTTCCCTTTGTGATATGGAACCTTGTAGTACAATTTCAGAAATATCCAAACACTTACACACAAGTTATTGTCATGAAACTAGAAAAATGCTTGTTTTTTGCCCCTTTTTTGGCCCCTAATTCCTAAAATTTTGAGGCAATTACCCCCAAAATCAATTACAGCCTTCCCTTTGTGATATGGAACCTTGTGGTACAATGTCAGAGAGATCCATACACTTACACACAAGTTATTGTCTGGAAGTTACAAAAATGCTTATTTTTGGCCCCTTTTTGGCCCCTAATTCCTTAACTGTTGGTACCATAACCCCCAAAATCAATCCCCACCTTCCTTTCGTGGTATTGAACCTTATGGTAAAATTTCATGGAGATCCATTTACTTAAACTAAAGTTAGAGTGCGAAAACCAATGTGTCTTCGGACGACGCCGGACGACGCCGGACGACGACGACGACGACGACGACGACGACAACGACGACGACGACGACGACGACGACGCCAACGTCATACCAATATACGACCAAAAAATTTTCAATTTTTGCGGTCGTATAAAAAACTAAGTCCATTTATCAATAAAATACGGAAAATGAAATTAATATTTTCTAACTGCTCTGGATACTGTATTTTGATTATAAACAAGCCTCTGTCAAAATTTCATAAAATTCCATGAAGGTTTGACAAAATTATTGATGCCTAAAAAAACTTGAACCACAGACTGAACCTAAATGTTGAAGCTGCAGACGGAATCTAGGATGGCTATGTCTCGCTTTCGCGACATAAATGTTGCAGGCTCGACAAAACTCTGCCATAGATTTGGAAACTAGAAAAATTCACCATAGATTAGGAAACTAGAAAATTTGCCATAGATTTAGGATTCTAAAAATTCTGCCATAGATTTGGGATGGCATGAAGTCATATTTACCATAGATTTTGAATCTGCCATAGATCTGGAACCTGCTATGGAGGCGAGTCTTACATATATATGGTATGTTGATGGGGAACTGTTTTCAATATATTTCACAATTTATAATTTGAGGGGTTGCGGCCTGATAAATAAAATTTCCCCAAAATGATATTTTTTGTCACCTCATTCAAGAAAATGATTTTCTTTTTACCATATATGATGGAAACAATATCAGAAACTTACTTTAACTGAATTTTATTGATGTGGGAAGTGTCTGGATCTTACCATCTTTCAAAATATGAGTTTCCTGTTCGTTTTCACATTTTACCAATATCTCACTTGTTAAACGCTTGCTTTGGAACTAAATATTAATTTTTCTATTTGAATGTTACTCTTCTATAATCAGATAGAAAGACTAAGAAATAAGACAATTTCAAGCTTTCTTTGACACTATCACCTCCAAATTGTACTGTTCTGTACAAGGTTTACAGGTTTATCCAAAATTAAAGTTTTGAGAAATTATCACTGCTTTAAATACAGTATGAATTTATATACAAAACTTGCTGTAATTTGTACATAAGTTTGATAGTCAAAATTTCCATTTTCATATAATTGTAAAAAAACATGTGTGAAAATAACAACTGCTTAGTAATAACATATTACAGATTTGAGTATTCAATGTCGTTCTCCATGTAATAGAGGGAAGCCATTCAAACAAGCCCATTACAGGAAAAAGATAATTAACACCTAATTATTTGATTGCTGGTACATGTAGCTGAAAAAATTTTGATAACACAAATAGCTGATAATTGATTTTCTGTCATTTTAAAATACATGACATGCAGTAATTTAGGCCGATATCTATTTGCACCAAAAGAGAAAATCATTTGCGGCACAACTTATTTGCGCCAATTCTGCTTCTGCGCCACTTCATTTTGGAAACTATAGGTTTCATTTGCACCAATAAAACAATCATACAATTACGTCAAATTTATCAATTTATTCATTTTTACTTATATATATCTACTAAATAATTGACTTCCCTCCTCCTTTATACATTTAACCATTTATCAATGTCAGTTCCATTTTTCTTGCATTCTCTTGCAAGACCCAAATTCTGTATTTTCCTCCACCAGGCCTGACCAAGATGGAATCTACAAGACTTAATGACAACATTTGGAAACATGTCTCTTACTGTTTCATGCATTCGTTCTTCAAAATCTAGATGAACGGTGTTAATGTTCAAGGTCAGGTTAAACTTCTTGCAACTTTCATCAAGTAAGGAAAACATTTTCTTGTAACAAGCCTCTGATTTTGACAGTAACAGATAAAATACTGATGGATTATAATGTCCTTTCTTAAAGCCATGTATAGTATAGAGTTGTTTGAAATGTTCTAGACAATATTTATAAGTACATGTATAATATAGGTAATAAAGAGCTGCACCATGAGTGCATGACAGGCTCGTCACTTTTTCAATGACTAAAGTTCCATAACTCATAGTCATATATATATCAGAAATTAATAAAACAAAATAAAGGGAGCTTATCTCAATAGATCTAAACCAGTCACCAAAGTTTCATGAAAATTGCTCAAAGCATTTTTGAGTTATTGTCCGAAAAGTGGAAAATCCACTTTTTTTATTAATAAAATCCCAAAATTTATGAAAAGGGGACTTACGTCAACAGATGTAAACAATTCACCAAAGTTTCATGAAAACTACAGACATGTGATTCTTCCGGCGGGAGTCAAAATCTCCGGATGTCCCGATGTCAACATTAATTAGGTTTTAGTGTCACTGATGAAGGTAATATTTACCTGTAAATTAAAGAACTTGTATAATCATATGGCTTCACTTGACAGCTTGGGTGTAAAACATACTATTAATTAACGATTTTTACTCAGGCTAACTGCCGTTATGTAAAAAAAGCTTTTTGGGTTACTTCCCTTGTTTTTATCCTGTTTTAAGTTACCCTCATTTTAAAAAAATAATGTAAATTGATATAAGAATATAAATGGAATACAAAATGAACAAAGAATGATATAAGGATGTTAATTTAATGATTTTAAATGTCTTAGGACAAACAACAAAATAATATTTTCAAAATTATTTGCGAGATCTATACTTCTTTTCAATGCTTAAATTGAAATTTATATGAAATGTATTGACATTTATTATTAGATAATTACCAACCATGGGAAGGCTTTACAGCCAGTCAAGGTCGATAAAAACCTCTATAAGTAAGTTATTTCGGCTAAATCTGGCCTAGGAACAGTATATTTATATATGTTCCTGATCTTGCTAAGTCAACATTAGGTAGGAAAATGGAAAGACACTTTAAACACATTTTAATAGATGACAAAGATGACTAAAGGAAAAAAATCACTTACAACTAGTATAACATTTTCATCTTAAAAAAGGGGAAATATGTAGCTTTATCATCAAAATTAACACCGAAAACGTCGATAAAAAATCTCCAGTTATGAGGCCCAAACTCCAGCTGAAAATTTTCAAATCTCCAGTTGTGACTCGACAACTCTGTCACATGTATGAAACTAGTTGAAGCGTTTTTGAGTTATTGTCTGTCATGATGACAACAGACGGACAGACAACAGTATACCATTATATTTCCCGTAAACTAGTGTACAAAAATAATATAAAGGTAAATGTGGCGCAATTTGATTCCATTTATTTGCACAATACACCTTATCGCTATTTAGTCCAATCCGGCAAAAACAGTCATTTAGACAACCTCCTGTTTGGGTCAACAGTCCGATCAACAAAGGTCATCAGTAACGAGCTGAGGGAGGTAAAAATTTAGAAAGCGATCAATAGGAAACTTTGATAGATTATGATCCACTTTTTCGAATCTCAAATTATAGTCAAAAAAATATTTTGTTTGATGTATTTACAATGTTTTTTACAGGTCTCACTAAAAAGTATCCTGCATGGTGCATTGTTTAAACAGGGCCCCAGATAGCTTCAACTGGATGAAAAAGTTGTGTAATTTCAGAACCTATACGGAATGGAATAAATAGGGATTAGGTGTATTAAAAACCATCACATCGGAAAAAAAGAGATTGGGGCAAATGATACCTTTTTTAAAACTGTAATTAGCGAAAATTGATTCTGGCCATTATAAACGTATTAACAGTTTTGGTATTTAGCGATATTTTGCCTCTGAATGACCTTAGATCTACTCCGAATCACCTTTTGACGTCAGGCAACAATCACTTTTTAATTGTGATGTCAAATGTTTTGAATTATGATGTCAAAGTTTACGGGAACCTGTGTGATTTTACGTAATGGCGGACAAATTTGCATACAAGTGTAAATATGTCTATTTGTAATGTTAACCCAAAAGAAACATTTTCTGCGGTGGGAAGTGTGACGTATTATGTTAAATGATCTTAAATGTTTTTATTGTAATGTTATTTCACAATATCAAAATAATTTATGGTTATAGCATTTAAATTTAAAATTGTGTTATTAATCACTTCGCTTCGTCCTCTTTCACAGGTACTAACACCTGCGTCATATATATAGAAGAAAGAAAAATACATCATGATGGTTCTTTTAAATACCATTCTAAATGACAGACACATGTACATACGACATTCAAAACAAAGGCGTACAACGTTAAAGGTAAGGGAAATAGACGAATGGCAGGAAAAAGAAACTAATGATTTAACATACAAAACGGAAAAGACCTGTGGCAGCTCATGAGGATTCTAATAATTATTCTTCAACATAGCTTTTTGGTTTTTGTTTCTGTCCATATTCTTCAAAGTGATCTTGGTTATTATGGTGTTTAATATAAAATAGTTTGCAAATACATGTATTCAGGAAATTAAAACAAGAATTTACGACAACTATTGTTCTGAAAAAAAAAGGAAAAACATTGATGTTTTCTGAAACTAAATGGGAATTAAAATGTCTAAAAATATAAAAATATCTAATCACAAAAAAGAAAAAACCAAAATCATGGTGTTTCAGACGTTTGTTTTATTCGGGTTTTTCTAATAGTTTCATTAAAGAAAGGGTAAGTTCTAGAGAAAGTCGTACTCAACTAATCAAAACGTCCTTCTTATTTGGATTCGTTCATCCGAACTCGATTAAGAAAGTTTTCCATTGGATGCAGGTGCCCTCAACGCCATTTGCCGCCATTTGAAAGTTTGAACACAAAGCCATGTCTGATTCTGAAGATAAATCCGTACCTTCCCCCAAACAAGAGGTTAAATTACATAGTGAAATTCTACTTAACAAATGTTAAAATTTTACATTTATGCACAGTAATCAAGGAATGCCATCTGTCAAGACCTCTTGTTGCATGTTAATTTTTCTGCACTACGGTGCGTCTCGAGAACTGTAATGTGTAAACAGCAGACATCGTTGGCTATTTTTCATGCATTCCATTTTTTTCATCGTATAATTTAGTCTTTTAATGATTTCACATAGAATACAAGATTGACCTTAAATCATTCACCGAGTATTACACCCAAAATGCATGTATCTGTAATCCCTTTTGGCATTCAGAGTCTGGTAGAAATTTCAGTTGTTTGCCATCAGAAAGATGTATTGATATTTTTGGGTATTGAGCAGGGCTCGACAATAACGCTTGTCCGATTGTTCGTTACCAGAGGAAAAAAAGGTTGGACAAGTAAAAGCCATATCAAGCTTGTCCGACGGGACAAGTAAAATCATTTTGTAGAAAATGAATTAAATCCAACTTTGATGATCAAAGTAATAAACAAAAAAACAGAACAGAAGATAAAAACAAATATTTATTTGACATGTTTACTTGCGATCGATAATTTAAAACTAGTTCTTTGTCAGATACTTTAATTTAAATTTATAACAGATTCTCGGAAACAAGTCTTACCAATCGGAATCAGCGGTGTGCTTTGTTATAAGGTAACGAGGCAGTTCAGCACCGGCACGGAAACGAATCGGCTCCATGTTTAATAGACAGTTCAGCACTGTTGGAGACATTTCGAGACCAAGACAAACCAGTACCTTGTTTCCCTACATTTTTCTGGGTACACGTTCGCACCCTACACGTTCGCACCCCACACGTTCGCCCCCTGGGTCCGTTTGCACCCTTTTTTTTTATTCAAAAACCCGATGAATTATAAGATGTTTTTTAAGATGTTTATCTCAAAATAAAGAAAAATTCGGCAATTTTTGAATTTTTTAAATGAAATATTGTTTTAAATTGATTTGATGATTAATTATTTATGATTACTGTTAATTATATATGGTGTTTACACAGCTAAACTTGATGTAAATTCTGCATGTAGTTATATTAGCATGTATTTAACTTGGTATGAGTAAAAACCATTAAGATTCAAAATGTTATTGTTGTTGAGTTTAAAGCGGTTTGGTATCTTAACATTTAAATAATATTCAACACAAAAAACCTTTTTTAGAAAGTCACTTTATTTTGAAACAATAAAAAAAAATACAACAATACACTAACCAAAACACGATTAAAAAGATATTCAACACAAAAAACGTCACTTTATTTTGCATGTTTTGAAACAATGAAAAAAAACTTATTTATAGCAATACAATAACCAAAACACGATTAAAAAATTATTCAACACAAAAATCGTTTTTAGAAAGTCACTTCATTTTAAAACAATGAACAAAAAAAATATTTACAACAATACACTAACCAAAATACGATTGAAAAATTATTTAAGACAAAATCAATAAAAAGGGTGCGAACGTGTAGGGTGCGAACGGACCCGGGGTGCGAACGTGAATGAGCGCGAACAAACCCGGATTCGTTTTTCTGTTGCTTTATAATATATATATGATAAATTTTATTTAACAAAAATATATTAAAAATGAAAATGAAGGAATTATTGACCATTAAATTCAGAAAATCATATTTAGACAAACAATATTTGATTGTGTTTGAATAAACATTTTAATTTATTAAACACAAAGCTGATTGTAGTAAGGCATTAATCATAATAATCAATATTCTATAAACATTAAAGACCAGGATACAAAACAAATGAGTGTAGACTGACAGGCCTACCAGACTGATGTGCAGAGTCTGATGAGACTTTGGCATTGATGAAAACTAGAACCTAAGTCCTCTGACTAGACATGACAAGATTCAGTTGTTCTTAACTCATATTTTTGAAAAGGATATGAAGAGATATAATCAAATTCTGTTCTATTGTTTTAATTCATTTTGTTCATTGAATCAACCAAAAATGCAAAAAAGGTTGATATACATGTAAAGGTTTTTTTTTTTGGACAAGTTACAATTCCAATCGGACAAGTAAGTTTTGGTATATACTTGTCCTATTGGACAAGTTGAAAAAAAAAGTTATTGTAGAGGCCTGTTAAGGTAAATTTGCTCTAGATGACCATAGATCTAGCTCCTTATAGTCCGATGTTATGCAACAATCATTTTTTTTTTACATCAAATGTTTTTAATTATGATATTATATTTTGCAGGAACTTGTGTGTCCAACAAATTTTGCAAGCATGTGTAAATACATCCATCCTGTATCTTTGCCTCACAAAAACAATCCAGGATAATTGAAACGTGATACCACATAACTTGTGAATTTAAAAAAGACAGCTAGAAATCCCCATTAATTATAAATAATTTATCCAAAAAAGGGTTTCCTGCCTCATCATCATCTTTATTAACCAGTTGGATAGCCTTCTCAACTTAAATAGCAAGCATAACAAAATTTCAATGATTTTTATTTATTACCCAGAAGTGATAACTTTTAACTTGAAGTAATTGCAGAACTCTTATATTTCTTTTAAAAAAGTGATGAAACATCATTTAAAATTATTTTAGGACAACAAGATAACGGTTTTTTGCAAGAGCAGAATATAAGATCATCACCTGTAACATTGGAGCTGATATATGCAAATGTGTTGGCACTTCTTATTTAGTTTGCATGTGGCAAAACATGAATGTTGAGGCATAACTTTTTATTAAGCCTGTATAAGGGACGTATTATGGTGTACCGTTGTCGGTCCGTCCATCGTCAACACTTCTAATAATAACATAAAAATGTTTTCACCAATTTATGTGAAACTTTTGCTACTTTGTGTACATGTATATCTAATGATGTAAGCTCCCTTTCGAATTTTATAAATTTTAGATTTTACGTTTCTGAGTTTTGGGATTATTTATTCATGAAAAAATGGGTGATTTTCCAGCATTTTGACTATAACTCAAAATGCTTTTAGCAATTTTCATGAAACTGGTAAATTGTTTATATATATTAACATACATTCCCTTTCGATTTTAAAAAATTTCTGATTTCACGTTTGGAGTATTGGGACTTTATTCATGAAAAAGAGGTGATTTTCTAGTTTACGGACAATAACTTGAAAACACTTAGGCCAAATAAAAGTATATGTGACATCCTGAAAAAAAATAGGGTCGGTAGGTCGGCAATTTATTATTTTTTTTTTTTTTTGGATTGTCAAAATCTGGGAAAAAATCGTGGGTTCACCGAGTCGGATTCCAGTATTATACACGTCCATACCAGAAGTTCGCCATTTTCCACACAATTGGTTGTAAAATAAACAGATATGTTATGTTTTTAGTTAATTTTGTTGCATTCTGTTAAGAACTTGTTGCATTTTTGCTGTAGTGGATACTAGCAGACTACACGAAATACGTCGGACAAATCCGGTGAATAATGGATCGGTCTGGTAAAATATTGTTGAATTCCGGTCCGAATGTCAGGTGTTATATTTTTCGTGGATTTTTTTAAAAAACCCTACATTTTTCCCAATTTTGGGGGCAAAATTCCCAAACGATCTCAAAATTCATTCTCATCTTTATTATTCATGACAGCGATGTTTATTTTGTTCAACCGCTAGCTTTATGCCGAAATCGCATACAAGTAATGTGTAAATCCGAGAAAAAACATATCTGACTGATAAAAACAACAATGGCTGCCATCAGCCGGAAATATAAACAATACCGGATCAGATTCCGGGAACGGATAAGGTCAATTTCCTGGTTTGCCGATCAAATACAATAGAAACATAAAAAAAATCCAAGCAGGTTCACAAAATACAGCTATGAAATATAAACACTAGAATTGAAAACCAAAAGATATATGAAAATGAAAGAAGATACAGGAAATATTTTATACAGAAACTCAAAATTTTTAGTTCACAAATAATTTTCATGTCAAAATCCAATAAAATGTGACATTACTTTTCTTTATCACTGAAATGCATTCAGGCAATTGTGCACAACTTTCATCAAAATACATGTATACACTCTTTGTCACATGATTTTGTTTTTGTGCATTTTGGAGAGGAGTAGGGCACAATAAGTCATAAGATTGTTGTATTTTGTCGGATAATATACAATTAGATGTAAAAAAAATTGGTCAGGTAAAATTTCATTAGGTCTGGTAAAGCTAGGTTGTTTACCAGACCGAATGTCCTGTAAAAATAAATTCATTCGTGTAGTCTGTACTAGTACTTCTAAGGTCATAAAAAAAAAGATGTTTGTTTGCACTAACCCTGCCTACTCAAAATCTTTTATTGTCCTGATGTGAAAAAGTTTTTTTTTATCAGATGGGCATGAAGACTAAAAAATATCTGACACTTTAATTTCTCTTTGCCGAAAAAAAAAGAAAATGCCTACCTACCTACCCACTGTCTCTAACTTTGGGTAGGGTTTGGGCAAACCAAAATTTTGTTAAGTGTGGCCCAATGGAAATTCAGATGACAGAAGTCTGTGAATTTAATTATTTAAATTCACATTCCACAAAATGGGATCGTTTGAAAATAATTTTTCAGAAATGAAAAAAAAAGATCAAGGGTCAGAGGTTTAGACTAGGGTCGGTCGGGTAACTGGAACCACACATATACTTTTATTTGGCCCTAGAGCTGTTTTCATGAGACTTTGGTGACTTGTTAAAATACATTGAAATAAGCTCTTTTTTTTTTTTTTTTTTTATTTCTGACATGACATTGCAGAGTTATGGATCTTTTTTCTTTTAAAAATTATTTCACACTTTGGACTGTTATAGAATTTTGTTCATTAAAAAATCAAGGCCACAAACTTAGTTTTACTTCAGGTAGCCTAAATAGTGCCAAATTGGTTTTACTTCAGGTAGCCTAAATAGTGCCAAATTGTTCAGGTTTTGTATCAATAGGTACCAGTGTGTGTGCATGTCTTTTTTATTGGGGAGGGGGTCTATTGGAGCAGTGCTCACAGTATTT